TAGGGTTAGGATCAGGCATGGTTCTGGATTCGCATGGACCGTGCCCAGTACCATGCCTAAATCTTGTACCATGTACCTAGTACCATGCCTAAATGGATTAAGGTCTGGGTGAGGCAAGGACTATCCAAGACCGTGTCTGAGCCATATTAGTTCATGATAAAGCAAGGTTCTGGATGCAACATGCGTGTGTGTGCGTATGGTACAGGCTGACGTGTGTGTTCTACAGGCCTTGTGAGGATCCCTGTCCCGACACATGCGCAGTGCTGAGACGAGCATTCTGTAAGGAGACCGATGACGCCACCGATGACGTCACCGACGACGCCTGTGCCTGTCTGACCGGAAACGCGTCTGCTTGTACAAGTATGTCTTCCATTGATGTATAGATGCATGCTTGAAGTTGGCCTACACCGTTGTGTGATGTTATTGAATAGGTTTCTTGCTGTGGCTCTGATTCCAGCCCCATCATAGACAGAAAAACTAGAAATAGGCAAATTCAACAACAATTTTAAGCTGATAGCAAAGCGCTTGTCAGCACGTCACCACTAATTGGCAATGGAAGAGCAAAAGCGGCTAAATCAAAACGCCGAGGCCACATGTAAAAATGGAGCTTCTTCTGCTGCATTTTATTTTTCTAAAGACAGAGCAGCTTCTTTGAAAACCTTCGTAACTAACACATGTCTGTCCCTTCCCCAGATGCGGCTCCCTTGTGGCAAAGCGGGCCGAACGGAACGCTGGGAAATCCCGCCCACAGCTCTGAAGGGCAGGACAACTTCGACCTGAACTTCAGAATCATCAGCGGCGTCAACTGGACTGAAGACTTCCTAAACCACAACTCCTCGGCTTTCCGGTGTCTCAGCCGCACTCTTGTCACTTCGGTAAGTACGCTGTGTCGGCAGGGTCGTCTTTATTCATTCATTCATTCACTCGCTCACTCGGTCACTCACTCACTCACTCACTCACTCACTCACTCACCCGCTCGTCTTTACTGCATTGACCTTAAACCTGCTCAGATGCATCACTATAAACACCTGCCTCATGTATGTTGCCAGCTGCAGGGAATGTACAGCAACAGCAGTGTGTCCAGTCAGTGCGACCGCCTCTACGTTCACCAGCTCAGGCAAGTCAGTGTTAGTCTATATTAGTTAGCTACGTAGAATGGTGTACAGAAAGTGCGAAATGGAGCGAAATGAAACGAAATGAAACGAGGTGGAACGAAATGAAACGAAATATGTATGATGGTAAGCCGTTAAGCCGTTCCATTTCGCTCCATTTCGCACTTTCTGGGGTCCCACGCAGAATGGTATATAAAACCACGTGTCTGAATGTGTAAGTACTGAAGACTAAATGCTTAGTTGTTATTGTTTATTTTAATCTTAAGGGTTGTTGTTGACAATGTTACTCTGTGCAGGAGAGGCAGTGTGATCGTGACGGTCAGGCTTGCCTGCAGGCCCTCCGCAGACAGAAGCCAGCTGGCAGCTAAAATAGCAGAGATCATGAAGACCCACGTCACCAGTAATAACGGAAAACTCCGCCTCTTTGTGTTGGAGAAGGCGTCTATTCAGGCACACGGTAGGTCGCATTCATGCACATTCGGGGCTACATACAGCCGCACGGTAGGCCACATTCAGGCACATTCGGGGCTACATACATCGAAAGTTTGAGAAACGACTAAAAGTTTATTGCACTAAATCCTACGATATTCTTATTATACATCTTGACACTTCTCATTACAGAAGTTTTAACCGGAGAAGCAGCTGTGCCGACAGAAAGTCCAGGATCAGCGGTAACGACAGCTAGAAAAACAGCCGTAGCCAATAAGGATGAGACAACCCCTCACCAATACACGACACAACAACCTGCACGCAAAACAACACCAACAACACCTCGCCAACACACTACAGGACAATCTACACTCAAAACAACACAAAAAACAACCACCTCTCGCCAACACACCTCAGCCGGATTCACTCCGTCAGAACAATCTACACTGATAACAACACCAACAACCATCCAAGCCACAAGTACGGTTCCTACTGCATCAAAAACATCACAGCCTACCACTGTGGGCACTACACAAGCCACTAGTACGGGCCCTTCCACTGTGGGCAGTACACAAGCCACTAGTACAGGCCCTTCCACTGTGGGCACTACACAAGCCACTAGTACAGGCCCTTCCACTGTCGGCACTACACAAGCCACTAGTACGGGCCCTTCCACTGTGGGCACTACACAAGCCACTAGTACGGGTCCTTCCACTGTGGGCACTACACAAGCGACTAGTACGGTTCCGTCCACTACACAAGCCACTAGTACGGCTCCTTCCACTACACAAGCCACTAGTACGGCTCCTTCCACTACACAAGCCACTAGTACGGCTCCTTCCACTACACAAGCCACTAGTACGGCTCCTTCCACTACACAAGCCACTAGTACGGTTCCGTCTACTACACAAGCCACTAGTACGGCTCCTCCCACTACACAAGCCACTAGTACGGTTCCGTCCACTACACAAGCCACTAGTACGGTTCCTTCCACTGTCACTACACAAGCCACTAGTACGGCTCCTTCCACTACACAAGCCACTAGTACGGTTCCGTCCACTACACAAGCCACTAGTACGGTTCCGTCCACTACACAAGCCACTAGTACGGTTCCGTCCACTACACAAGCCACTAGTACGGTTCCGTCCACTACACAAGCCACTAGTACGGTTCCGTCCACTACACAAGCCACTAGTACGGTTCCGTCCACTACACAAGCCACTAGTACGGCTCCTTCCACTACACAAATCACTAGTACGGTTCCCTCCACTACACAAGCCACTAGTACGGTATCCACTAGCCGTAAATCTACAAACCGGTCTGAACCGACATCGTCTCCCCGTCACTTGACCACGTGGTTTCAAACCTCCACGCCGGCGATGACGGAAGTTTCCTCCTCCACGCCGCATCCGATAGAATCTCCTTCTCCGGAAAACATCTCAACTGTACAGACCTACGTCACCACGGCAACGGAATCCACACCTGGCACGCCGGTCACGGGCTCTCAAGTTTCCGTTACAGGTACGATTCTAGATTAGTCCTTTGTCAGTGTTTCACCTGCGTTGGCTACATTGTACTGTAACTGTACTAGCTGTATGATTATAGCCGGTATAACCGCCCTTCGGCGTTTCACACCAGCTTCTGTATCTGTATAGCCGGTATAACCGCCCTTCGGCGTAACACACCAGCTTCTGTATCTGTATAGCCGGTATAACCGCCCCCCGGCGTAACACACCAGCTTCTGTATCTGTATAGCCGGTATAACTGCCCCTCGGCGTAACACACCAGCTTCGCGATGTATCTACCCTTTGCTGTTTCACTGTCAGATGAAAAGATCGTGTTGCACGCATCCCTTTTCTTTATACAGGTGTTTCCACAGAGGTTACTTCCAAAGCCACGACATCATCAAGATGGACAACTGGTCACCCTGTGGAGGAATTTCTCCTCAACTTCAAAATACTGGTGAGCATGCATGTGTGCAGGCAATACTGGTCAGTGTGCCAAAAAAAGCCTTTGTCATTTTTCTGCTTTTATGGAACTTATTAAGATCCGACTTTCTGGGTTGTTAAAAATGTGGCCATCCAATTTCCGAATTGTAACTGAGGCTTGCACCTCGTCTGTTGAGCTCTAAGTTACAGGTGATGACTAAACTCGGTCCTTGTTATTTCCAGAACTGTGCCCATCTAGTGGTATGTCTAGGGTTAGGCTAAGGCACGCTTCTAGATAGTCCCCGTGTATCCTACATGCAGAGTGTACATTTGTCCCAGGTACGGTTAACCTGGGTCCTGTGTTAGTCTGACGGTCCTTCTTTCCGTACCTGTGGCAGGAAGGGTACAACTGGACAGACGGGCTCCTGGACAGCACCACGGCGGAGTACCACAACCTCACCTCTGTCCTCCGCAACGCGGTGCGTACCCACCTCTCTCAGCGTGTAGCATGTACCACGGGTACCCACCTCTCTCTAGTACCCACCTCTCTCAGCGTGTAGCATGTACCACGGGTACCCACCTCTCTCTAGTACCCACCTCTCTCAGCGTGTAGCATGTACCACGGGTACCCACCTCTCTCTAGTACCCACCTCTCTCAGCGTGTAGCATGTACCACGGGTACCCACCTCGTGGATCCTCGTAATCTCGTATGGTATGACGTGTGCAGGCTGATGGGGGATGTTTTAAACTGATATGGCATATACATGCTAGTATGACATATTCAGGCTGATATGGCATATACAGGCTGATATTACATATGCAGGCTGATATGACATATACAGGCTGATATTACGTATGCAGGCTGATATGAAATTTGTAACAGGCTGATATGACCGATTTGTAAAAGGCTGATCTGATATACACAGGCTGATATGACATTTGTAACAGGCTGATATGACATATACAGGTTGATATGACAAATATACACGTATCCAGGCTCATCGGATATGACATATGCAGGCTGATATGACCGACTTGTAAAAGGCTGACCTGATATATACAGGCTGATATGACATTTGTAACAGGTTGATATGACACATATACACGTATCCAGGCTGATATGACAGTTTTGTTCCCTGCCCAGCTGTGGGAGATGTACGGGAACAGCTCGCTGGCCAACTACACCGATGACATCATCATCGACGGATTCACGTGAGTAGCAAATAGCCTACTACTACGGAACTGTTTCAGCTGTTCTGGTAGTGAGGTGGGTTGTATAAAGGGGACTAAGCATTTCAACACATTCCTAAGGGGGCCCTCAAGCCCTTTTCCGTAGAGCGTAATCGGCCGTTTTAATTCTACGTAGAGCGTAGACGGACCGCTCTAATATTTTTGCGTAGAGCGTATTCGGCGTTTTAATTCTACGTAATGCGTTGTGGCCACTTGGAATTTATCGTAAAGCGTAATCGAGAGGTTTCCGAATTCAGCGTAGAGCGTTGTCGGGACCGCCCTTGCAGGCCCTCTCCTAACAATGTTTAACTCAGGGAAGGTTGTGTGGAGGTGTACGGCTGTAACATTGTGCTGTTCCGTACAGGGAAGGTTGTGTGGAGGTGTACAGCTGTAACACTGTGCTGTTCCGTACAGGGAAGGTTGTGTGGAGGTGTACGGCTGTAACATTGTGCTGTTCCGTACAGGGAAGGTTGTGTGGCGGTGTACGGCTGTAACACTGTGCTGTTCCGTACAGGGAAGGTTGTGTGGCGGTGTACAGCTGTAACAATGTGCTGTTCCGTACAGGGAAGGTTGTGTGGCGGTGTACAGCCGGCTGTTCCTGATCCCCCACACGGCGACTGCAGCCGAGCTGTCCCGGGTGTTCACGCGCGCTGTCACGGCGGGACTCCCGGCTCTGCCCGGGTACATCATCCGTCCGGACTCCATCCGGGTTCTCGGTAGGTTGTTCTGAAAGAAAAAAACTTATTTCGAGCAACGAACTTATCTTGGAAAGACACCTTCGTTTGTAGTTGGGTGTGGGATAATCTCCAAGCAGATCTTATGGTGGGGAAATGGACACAGACTGGCCAATTCGATACTGTCTTACCCGGCCACCAAAAGATCTTGGAGATTAGGTAGTAATCTCCAAGCAGATCCCTCCGTGGCTAAGACAGTATCAAATTGGGCAGGCAGTATCCATTAGCCAGAAAAGCCTGTATCCAGCAAAAAAAAAACGGCCATATATAAAAAGCTAACGATCATTCCCCCACAACATCTGCTTGGAGAGTAATTAGGTGGAGTGGTACAGAGGATTGACCTGCACTAATCATGATTGTGTGGCCCCGTGCAAGGTCTGAAAGAAAGAATCATCATGGACTTCGAGCTCTGGCATCATGACATGACGCCGTTAGCTTTACTTATTTCCTTCTCAGCTTTAAACGTCACTTCCGTCGCAACCCTGCACCCTGCTGACGTCACTTCCGTCCCGACCCTGCATCCTGGTGACGTCACTTCCGTCCCGACCGTGCATCCTGGTGACGTCACTTCCGTCCCGACCGTGCGTCCTGGTGACGACATGACCTACAGGTCACCGACCGTGAGGTCATCTCTGATGGGCAGCATGGCGGCACTCTCCACAGCACCGCAGTGAACAGTCCGAAAACATGTTTTTTCTGTCTTCATCTTCACCAAACAAATATGGTCAATGACTTGGACCGGGCGTCTATCACCATGGTAACTGATGCTGTAGCAGACCCTGTGGTGTTGGGTTAAAGCACTAGTCTGTAGCAAGTTACCTGGCACGGTTTGACTAGAACATGTAAAGGTAACAAATTATGACCGATGTCACATTGTGAACTGAGCATGTAGCATTTATGACCGATGTCACATTGTGAACTGAGCAGAAATGTAGCATTTATGACCGATGTCACATTGCGAACTGAGCATGTAGCATTTATGACCGATGTCACATTGCGAACTGAGCATGTAGCATTTTATGACCGATGTCACATCGCGAACTGAGCATGTAGCATTTATGACCGATGTCACATTGTGAACTGAGCATGTAGCATTTATGACCGATGTCACATTGTGAACTGAGCATGTAGCATTTATGACCGATGTCACATTGCGAACTGAGCATGTAGCATTTATGACCGATGTCACATTGTGAACTGAGCATGTAGCATTTATGACCGATGTCACATTGTGAACTGAGCAGAAATGTAGCATTTATGACCGATGTCACATTGTGAACTGAGCATGTAGCAATTATGGCCGATGTCACATTGTGAACTGAGCATGTAGCATTTATGACCGATGTCACATTGCGAACTGAGCATGTAGCATTTATGACCGATGTCACATTGCGAACTGAGCATGTAGCATTTATGACCGATGTCACATTGCGAACTGAGCATGTAGCATTTATGACCGATGTCACATTGTGAACTGATCATGAGCATGTAGCATTTATGACCGATGTCACATTGCGAAGTGAGAATGTAGCATTTATTACCGATGTCACATTGTGAACTGAGCATGTAGCATTTATGACCGATGTCACATTGTGAACTGAGCATGTAGCATTTATGACCGATGTCACATTGTGAACTGAGTAAAAAAACGTTAAAACTTGACCAGGCCCAGTTATTTCTTCATCCTTCGTGCATTTCTGAGCTTGTTTCTAAGTAATTATGTTTTGCTTGCTCCGATCCGTGCTTCTCTGCAGTATCATCATTTTTTTTTTTGCATAAAAGACATAAAAGGGGGGACTGGTCCCGACAACGGCTGGTCCTACGCTGAATTCGGAAACCTCTCGATTACGCTTTACGATAAATTCCAAGTGGCTACTACGTATTACGTAGAATTAAAACGCCGAATACAATCAAGACGCAAGCATCAGGGTAGATGCATGGCGGCTGTAGCCATGTCCCTCCAGGATGCTCTACGCAAAAAATATTTTCCGCTCTACGGAAAACGGCTTGCGCCCCCCCCCCAAACCATTGAGTTACCTCCCTGCCTTCCATGCCCAAACTTCGCGCCCCACCCGCAGCCGACAGGACGTTGACCCCGAGGCGCTACGTCGCCTGACAACGTGTCAACATTCCGGCTGACCGCAGCCACACGCAAGCGCAGAGCCGTGCCCGGTAAAACCGCCGCCTGTCACGCGAGGGTCGGAGTTTCCGTGCGGCTGTTGTTATCTCTCATCTCTCCTGTTGCGTGTCAGGAACAACAATCCAGCCTCGCCCCGCCCTGCCGCTGCCGAGACATCAATTATTCATGCCGCTCTTGTCTTGCGCTTGTCTGCGCTCCTGAGAGAAATCCGACCCGCGCGCCAGTCCGGGTTTAGGCTGTGACCTCCCAACAACAGGTCGGAATAGCGAGCTTGTGTGTTCGGCCTGTGTGTACGGCCTGTAGTCTGTAGAAGCCTGTTGCCTGTCAGCTGAAGACTGTCCCCTGCAACAGGCCGGCATGTCGGCTTCCGTGAGAACGGGCGGCGGGAAGACGCGCGAAGGGACGACGCCTCCGACAGCGACGCAGGTGCGCCTCTCTCCTTCTACATCCTACATGTACTTCCTGTTTAACAACTATCGTCATGGCGATCTTTCCTCAACTATCAAATAGATCAGGGAGGTCACCAGCCAAAGGTCTTGTTTACAGTCTAGTTTGTAGGCCCTTGACAACCTGTGATAGTTGTGGCCTCCCAATCCCTGACTGTTCGTGCGCAGGACCTTACCTTACCTGTCTGTTTACTTCTGTCCGCCATAATTACCTGTTTAACAACTATCGTCAGGCCGATCATTCTGATAGTCCTTTCAAACCTATACAAGAGGGGAAGTCACCAGACAAAGGTCTTGTTTCCAGTGTAGTTTGGAGGCCCTTGACACAAACGTTACGATGGTTCCTGACTGTACGTGCGCAGGACCTTACCTGTGTGTTTACTTCTGTCCGCCATAATTACCTGTTTACTTTGGTGGCGCCGACACACCTGGGTAAGAACCCGTGACCGGGGCGGCGTGTAGCAAGCTTGTAGCCTGCTACATACGAACTGACACACACTCGGGTGTAACAGGTTACAGATGTGATCGGTGTGGCAGTGGGTGTGGGGCTGTGGCAGTCATGATGTGGCAATAATTTGTGTCAGTCTGTCGACACTTCCTGTTTCACCTGACTTAATTTATTTTGGTCGGACTGCAACAACAGACGCCATGTTTGATGTTTGTTCAATGAGCATTTTAAAACGTAATTTCGCTCAAAGGGCATCAAGTGAAACGCTTTGCCATAGTACTTACGTAAAGTACTAGTATGTAATATTGGAGAAACACTCGTTGCCAGTATACGTATGTAACTTCGGAGTTTGAGAGGAAACTGCATGACACCACTAGTACTGACTGCGTGAGAAGAGGTTAGAACTGTGTGTAAAGGCAGCAGAGCAAGTTAAACTGGGTTTTCCCAAGTCGCCATGGGCGTGTCCATCACGGTCCCTTCCGCTGGCCTGTGGGCCTGGAAGGCCTAATAGCCTAAATAGGGCACAGTTCTGTATCATAAGGCCTGTTACTGTGTTAGTAAGGTAATCTCCAAGGATTTATTAGAGTAAGTATTTCCGATCCTGTACATAAGGCATCCAGAATGCTCGGTGGTAAACAACAGAAATGACCACGTCTAAAATGAGAAGTTCTGGTCGTGTTTATCACATTTCCGGCAGCCTCAGGTTTCTATCCAACCAACAGCTGCGCGGTACCGACAGCTGCTATATTTGTACTCTTGGCCTAAACCTGTATACATGGTCACCAGACAAAATCAACTAAACATATATGGGTCTATACATTGTCAACTAAACCTATATACGTCTATACATAGTCAACTATATTTTTATCAACTATATGCAACTATACATAGTCGTCCTTTTGGTTCCGGCGTGTTTACCTGTTTGTTTATTTGTTGTTATTTACAGGCTTGTTTACTTACCGTTGTTTAGAAGTGTCCCCGCTGAAGCGGATGGAGCCCGTCCTGCTGGTTCCGGCGTGTTTACCTGTTTGTTTGTTTATCTGCTGTTGTTTACTTGTTTATTTGTTGTTGTTTAGAAGTGTCGCCGCTGAAGAGGATGGAGCCGGTTTTGCTGGTTCCGAGGGAACAGACGCGCTGGACTCCATCTGCCCTGAGTACGCATGCTCAGAAAGGTTCGTAACTCTTTACTACTCGTACGCATGCTTGGAAAAGTCAGTAACTTTTTTAGTACTACTTGTAGATGGTTTGCTCAATGTATCTGTAACTGTATCTGTATCTGTATAGCCGGTATAACCGCCCTTCTGCGTATGTTTGTGTGTTGCAGGTCCCGGCTGTGGCTGACTGCTGTAGTGTTGATCGGCTGTTTTATCCTGGGCGCCGTGGATTGTTACTCCGACTGGCAGGCGTACGGACAGCCCGTGTTTATGTTTATGTTTATGTTTATGTGTTGCAGGTCCCGGCTGTGTCTGACTGTCCTGGTGCTGATCGGATGTTTTATCCTCGGTGCCGTGGACTGCTACTCCGACTGGCAGGCGTACGGACAGCTGGTGTACGACACGGCTGCCCCCGAGGTGACCTTCTCTCAGCGCTGGGCGCTGTTCGTGTTCTGTGCTGTCGGCACGCTGCTGTTCCTGTGGGAAACGCTGCTGAACAACCTGCTGGAATACTGCGCCATGCCGCATCTGGACGTGGAGATCACGCTCATCCTCGTCCTCGCGTTGGAGGAGATCCCCCTCCGCGTCATCAACTACGTCACCAGCGCGCTGCGCGGCCGCGCGGCATTCTGGGCCATGTTCAGCGGCTGGGTGGGGCTGCTGACCGTGACCTTGCTGCACGGGCTGCGCATGTGCAAGCGTAGTTACCATGGCAGCCAGGTGGCCCTGCGGGAGAAGACGTACTACCGGCGGCGCGGCGTGGCGCTGGCCGTGGTCTGCCACCTGCTGTACGTCACGTTCTTCGCGCTGACGGTGCTGCAAACCGCGCAGTACGCCACGCACGGGGTCTGACGTCACACGCACAGGGTCTGACGTCACCAAGCAACGTGTGACGTCACCACGCAAGGTCTGACGTCAGAACGCAAGGTCTGACGTCACCACGCAAGGTCTGACGTCACCACGCAAGGTCTGACGTCACCACGCAAGGTCTGACGTCACCACGCAAGGTCTGACGTCACCACGCAACGTGTGACGTCCCCACACGTGTGACTGTCGTAATTTCTGTAGTAGTGCCTTAATATGTCTGGAACAGATTATATATATAACTTTATATACTTATAATCATTAGCAATGAGAATATGTCACGTCTACACCAAGCAACGGCTGACGTCACAGAGCAACGTGTGACGTCATGACGCAACGTGTGACGTCACAGAACACAATCCCTCTGTAGCACGTATTATCTCTGCCGTTGGTGCCTTCGTAGTTTCTGTGGTAGTGCCTTATGAGTCTGGAACAGATTATATATATAACTTTATATACTGATAATCATTAGCAATGAGAATATGTCACGTCTACGTGTATTGATGATATGGTAATTATATATTTCAAATCATATATAAATGTTTCCCAGAAAGTGTGTTTTACTCAATACAAATATTTCATGGCAATATTTACATTGTACATAGCAAAATGTTTCGTATATAAGATATGTTTCATATATAGCAAATGCTACATTTATAGCAAATGTTCCATACATAGCAAATGTTTCATAGCAAATATTTGTATTTTGACAATCATTATGTTTTCACAGCAAAACACACACACACATACACACACACACACACACACACACACACACACACACACACACACACACACACACACACACACACACACACACACACACACACACACACACACACACATGCGGTCACACCCGCATACATACGATGTTTCATTACCTTTTGTGTATGCTATAAGATACAACTATTCACTTCCTGTGCCTTATTCGCAATGAAATAAACTCTATGAAATTTACACACACGTCACGTTTCTTGTGCTGTGTGCTTAAAAACGTTTCTTGTGTGAGCGGGTTCAGCTTTAGTTAATACAGTGGTGCCGTGATGGTTTTTGTTTAGGTTGGGTGGCGTGAGACTGAGTCTGATGACGATCACCTCGCTAGAATCGAGATGAAGTGCTAATATTCTAAAATTCTTGCCCGAGGGCTAATTGCAGGAACAGAAGAAACATGGTATAAAAACAGACAATTAGTACATATAGAACTACTGATAACTACTAAGAAACTACCGGTAAAAACTACTAATATCGACGGAACGTTAACGTTATACCGACAGCCTTTAATATGCCCCCTCCAAAAACGGTGGTGGTTTTGAGTCAGGAGATATTGAAGCTAAGTTTTGTAGAAACTATTATAAATGCCGTAGGAGGCAGTCCTTAGTAAACGGCTGCAAGGTTTCAAAGTTTAACCACGGCCCAGGAACGCAGCCTTGAGCGTGTTCAAAGGCGGGCTTGCCGCATCATCTTGGGAACCACCTACACAGGATATGACAACGCACTACAACACCTTGGATTGTCATCACTTACCGAGAGAAGAGAACTGTTGTGTGTGAAGTTCGCTAGGACACTTGTGAGGTCAGAGTACAGAGATCGGCTACCTCCACAGAGATCACAAATAACTGGCCGTAGTACTAGAAACAGTGAGATGCTAGACTGCCCGAGAGCAAGAACGTATAGATATAAGAACTCGCCTATACCGTTTATGGCCCAGCTCCTCAATAACTATGGACTCACTGAACCCCTGTCTTTTAAATGTAGTACAGTGTTCTGTATCAAATGTTGTCCGGGAAATTTATAATGTATGTATTTTTATTGGTTTGTTAATCGTATGCCTATATTGATTGCTAACCTGTAGTTTTAATATACCAATGTTTTGTAAATTGGTTTACAATTCAGTTGTTTTTAACTGCGAAGAACCAATAAATCCATCTTGAATCTTGAATCTTGAGATCAGGATGATCAGTGAAGGCTGCCTCCCCCTTTTGGATAATGGTCGCTCCCAGCCGCGGTGCATGGCGGGAGTTATCGTCAATATGGCGGAAGTTGGGCGAAAGGCGGGCTAATGCAGGACCGAGGAACGTTGTTTTGTCTCTGCCGAGTCTCCTGTATTCTCTGTAACTACTGAAGTGAGACTAAGAGACAGCCATGGAGTTCCCGTTCAGCCTGCATGGGCTGTTTGGGGAGGAGATCTCGCTGGTGGATGGCAGCTGCGCGCCGTACCGGAAGGCCAGGTTGGTTCGGGTTTGTTGTGTTTGCCTGGAAACAGGCGAGCGGGCGGCTTGTCGGGGTACGGACAGGCTGACTGAGAAAACACGGGGGTAAGGGCAGCGGGTTCGGGCGGCAGCTGGGTTAGAAGCTTACTGCGGGCCTTAGCACGGTTTAATAATTTCGTGTGACGTAATTTATGAGTCCCACCGGGCTCGGTAATAATCCTATCCCGGAGTCCAGTATAACTATAACGGTATCCTCTACAGTAACTGCCCCTCCCATGTTAATCATATTAGTCGGCTCCACAGGAAAAGGACTAAAATCCTGCCTTAAAGCATGACTAGTGTGTGTTGATGAGTAAATATCACAGGTTACTATATTGTGACATGAATATACCAAGAAATAACGTTATATGGTCCTGAGAAGAAGACTGAGTGGTTATGCTGAGCGGCAGTAACACTGGCCGGCCGCCATGTTTGCAAACAGTGTTGTGTTTTCAGCAACGTATCATCATCATAATTTGTTATGTGTGGATGTGACGGCCATGTCTCAATAATTGATATGGATTCTTTAGTTTTATCAGGGCCACAATATTAATATTAATGGAAATCTCATTATATCAGTCAACGGAGGTTTCCAGCTTGCTTCTGATAGAATTTTGGTTATTGTCCGTCGACTGTATAATTTGGGTAGAAAATGTAGTTAAACATAAATTTTGAATACGAAAAATATAGTTTTTTTGCAGTTTTTTCAACGGACCTTCTAGGAAAAAATGAATTTTCCCAGGTATATATATGCTGAAATAGCTTACTACTTTATGTTTCTGAAAAACGGCAAAAAAAAATAGGTTGTTGCGATAAGTTTTTCGCAAAATCCGGTGACGCGACTGCCTTGAATCTCCAACCCAGAACCATAATTGGCCCCTGTAATAATTGACTGATGCCTGTTTACAGCAACGAGCCGCTGGACAAAAACCTGGCCAAGGTGATCGATGATTTGGGTGAGGCTTCAGCAAAGGTAGGTCACAGGTTATATAGTTTAAATCAGTAGCTTTTATATCAACCCAACCTTTTCACAATAACAATGAAAAAGTAACAAATTAAGTTTGTTCAACACTGAAATCAGTGAAGAGACAATTTTTATATTTTTTTTCTGTTTGTACACCAGGCTCAGGGTCTGCATGGACCCATCACAGCAACCTACAAACTCAGGAGCTCGGACCATCGCATGTATGTGCTTAAAGATGGAGAGGCCAACAGGTAAGGAACTCATAAACTCATATAATATCTTCATCTTCATCTTTGCCGGGGCTCTAAGATGTTATACAAGCCCCGGCTACACCCCCATATCGCCCCTACGGGGGCACTTAAGGGGGGGAGGCCTTGGTCTAAGGCGGGCAGGCCTCCAGCCTGGCCCGGAAGGACTCAACAGTGGGGGCCATGATTACCGGGCCAGGCAAGGCGTTCCATTGTGGGATCGTGCGGGTGAAATATATAGTATATACAGTAATATACATGTATGTATGTGCAGAATCACCTTCATGAATCAGGTGGAGTAAAAGATCTATTGTTCCTGCAGTAACAGCCTTAAATTTTAGTTAAAGTAGCCAGGCTGCGGGCAGCAGGTCTTTCATTGGTACAGTGTCAGGTTAAAGGGAAGGGTTTAGGTTAAAGGGAAGGGTTTAGGTTAAAGGGAAGGGTTTAGGTTAAAGGGAAGGGTTTAGGTTAAAGGTTCATGTTCCGATGTTCTGATGTTCTTTTTTTCCTTGTAGTGGGAAGGGAGCAGCAGTCGGCTTCATCAAAGTCGGCAAAAAGAAACTTTTTATCCTGGTGAGTACAGATGTTATAAGTACAGATGTGAAGGTAGCATGTTATAAGTGCAGATGTGTATTCAGCATGTACATGTATATGTTATGCGTCACTAAAAGTTAGACATCCAGGTAATAAAATATGCCAAAAAGCAGTTACTCAAGCTACTGGATATGATTTTGGAAACGGTCAGACGTTTCAGCTAGCGTTATTGACTAATTTGCATTATCTGGTCTTGACTTGTTTGTTTCCTATTGGACTTCAAAAAAATTGTCTTCACATGTAGCACCCCCCCTGTGTACATGTAGCTAACCCCCTGTGTTTACCCCCTGTGTACATGTAGCTAACCCCCTGCGTTTACCCCCCCCAGGACCACCACGGAGCCCAGGTGGAGCTGACCCCCCTCTGTGTTCTCGACTTTTATGTTCACGAGTCCAGACAGAGGACAGGATGTGGCCACAGGCTGTTCCAGCACATGCTTAAGGTGGGTAATTACTAACTAACATTACTAACCCACACGCCTAACCCACATGCCTAACCCACATGCCTAACCCACATGCTCAAGGTGGGTAATTACTAACCCACATGCTCAATTAAGGTGGGTAATTACTAACCCACATGCTCAAGGTGGGTAATTACTAACCCACATGCTCAAGGTGGGTAATTACTAACTAACATTACTAACCCACATGCCTAACCCACATGCCTAACCCACATGCTCAAGGTGGGTAATTACTAACCCACATGCTCAATTAAGGTGGGTAATTACTAACCCACATGCTCAAGGTGGGTAATTACTAACCCACATGCTCAAGGTGGGTAATTCCTCAGAACCCACATTGAGTTAGACGGTATGCTCATTACCTGAACAGTGTTTTTTGAGCAGCTGTTTGTTTCCTCAGATGGAAAAAATCTCCCCCCAGCACCTGGCCATCGACAGACCCTCCAACAAGTTCACTCGCTTCCTGAAGAAACACTACGGGCTGGCAGCTACTGTGCCTCAGGTAAGGAACAAACAAACAAACAAACAAACAAACAAACAAACAAACAGGCAGCTACTGTGCCTCAGGTAAGGAACAAACAAACAAACAAACAAACAAACAGGCAGCTACTGTGCCTCAGGTAAGGAGCAAACAAACAAACAGGCAGCTACTGTGCCTCAGGTAAGGAACAAACAAACAAACAAACAAACAAACAAACAGGCGGCTACTGTGCCTCAGGTAAGGAACAAACAAACAAACAAACAAACAGGCGGCTACTGTGCCTCAGGTAAGGAGCAAACAAACAAACAAACAAACAAACAAACAGGCTGCTACTGTGCCTCAGGTAAGGTAAATTACAAAAACAACTGGGAATTGCTAATGAGATTCCCAGTTTTTAATTTTTTGTATAGAAAAATAGAGCATGAGGATACACATGTATTTGAGAAGGGAACTAGGAACTTGGGAATTAAGTGCAAAGGAACTTAGGAATTGATTTACTATAATAATAAATTAAAACTTAGGAATTTTGTGGTGGAATTTTGGCAGCAAGCTGGGATTGTCGATGTGTTGCCTACCTTTCTTCTGTAGGCGTTACTGTGGTAGGGACATTACATATTTATAATTATATGTTCATATTTTCATTATGTTTATATTTAGATACATGTCATTTTTAACTTCTGCAGGTCAACAACTTTGTGGTGTTTGAAGGATTCTTCAGAGACAATCCAGGTAAGAAAGTGAATGTTGGTAGGATTCAGGTATCATAGTTGCCATTGATAGTAAGGAAAATCATAGGTTGGAATGAAGATATCAGGTACAAGGTAACACACACATCATATGTACACATCATACGTACACAAACACATGTACATACACATCATACGTACACATGTACCTAAACATGTACATACGTACACATGTACATACACATCATACGTACACATGTACCTAAACATGTACATACGTACACATGTACATACACATCATACGTACACATGTACCTAAACATGTACATTTAGATGTACTTACAAACGTGTAGATAGAGGCTCATAACATCAGTTTCAGACTGATTTGATTTCTTTTTGTACTTAATTTGATTTTTATCTCTTGTATCGAAATTTTGCTTTGCCATCAAAGAAGTTTCATGTTTGTCAAATTTAGTTTTTATGTGTTATTTTAGTTTCTTGATTTCTTTTGCCATTTTTCCTCGCAGCTACAAGATACGGCAGAAAGCAGACATCTCAGCAGAACAGGCCTCCCCTGTATCCGTACAGAAGAGAGGGTACGGTGCATTTGCCACATCTACTGTAGCCAGCTTGGGTACATTTGCCACATCTACTGTAACCAGCTTGGGTACATTTGCCACATCTACTGTAACCACCTTAGGTCAAACCAGCACCTGTGCATTCAATATGTACAAGGGCTGCACCAGACTAGAGGGTGTAACACCACAGATTGGGTTACGGAACACGAGTAGCGTCCTGTCCAATATTTCACAAGATTTCATACATACTGTCACACACCACAGTCAAATGCACCATAGAGCTTAAAATGTCACCTCTCTGCTGTTTTGTGCTGTTTTTAATGTTCTACTGTGCCATTGTGTGCTGTTCTGTAGGTCATGCTGTCCTCAGCAGGCCTCTGTGCTGTTCTGTAGATTCTGCTGTCCCCAGCTGACAGCTGCCCTCTGTGCTGTTCTGTAGGTTCTGCTGTTCCCAGCAGACAGCTGGCCTCTGTGCTGTTCTGTAGGCTCTACTATCCCCAACATACAGTTGACCTCTGTGCTGTTCTGTGCTGTTCTGTAGGCTCTACTATCCCCAGCAGACAGTTGACCTCTGTGCTGTTCTGTAGGCTCTACTATCCCCAGCAGACATTTGACCTTTGTGCTGTTCTGTGCTGTTCTGTAGGCTCTACTGTCCCCATGAGACAGCGAGGATCTGCGAGGAACCTGCAGCAGGAAAAAGCAGCTCTGCAGAACATCGCTGTCAGCCAAGGTCGGCCCTCGTCCACGGGACTCCTCATCTCCCGGTTCCAGCAACAGCACGACATTACCAGGAACAGGTCAAGGTCAGTACAACTCACCCTCACACCTTCATTAGTATGGCCTGTCTGACCCCCTCCCCCCACTTATTGAAATCTGTCTGTCCCCTGCAGTTCCCTGGGTAACCTTGCGGCTGTAGAACTCGAGGATCGGAGGATGGGAGCTCAGGCAAGCCGGTACAGCAGATATGCTCAGGAGGTCACAGGGCGGAGGTCAAGTGCACAGAACTCAGCTGGGCTGCCTGGGTCTACAACAGGACAGGCTGGGTCCACAACTGGTCAACCTGGGTCCATAGCTACACAGGCTGGGTCCACAACTGGAATGCCTGGGTCCACAGCTGGCCAGGCTGGGTCCTCAGCTGGACTTGCAGGGTCCACAGGAGGGGTAGCTGGGTCTACAGGAAGGCTGCCTGGGTCCACAATGGAAACTCCTGGGGCTTTAGCTGGCCAGGCTGGGTCCACAGCTGGAATGCCTGGGTCTTTAGCTGGCCAGGCTGGGTCCACAGGAGGTTACGTGCACTACAAGGACATCACCACCCGCAATGGGCACCTGAAGGTGTCGTCACAGCTGTCTCCGGCCATGGACAGGTGGGAGCTGAGTTTGTTATCTAGAGAGACGTAGCACAGAAAAAATGTAACACTTGTTTCTTCTTTACTTGTACCCAAGTTATCTAACTTAGTGCATTTGGCCCATGTAAGACGTGAATATACAATAAAGTTCAATGTCATCTGAAAGCCAACAAATTACAGCAAAAGTGGGATCCTTTGTCTTCTTCTGTCTTCAAAAAAGAAGTCAAACCCAGTAGTTTTTACTAGTAGTTTCTTAGTAGTTCCATGTGTACTAATTATCTGTTTTTATACCAAATGTTTCTTCTGTTCATGCAATTAGCCCTCAGGCATGTATTTGCAATAAAACTATATTATTGTCATTGCTATGCCTGCAGATATTGTTCTAGAAGCTGAGAAGCTTTTGATCCAAATTGTTGCTGTGCTGCATAGAAAGTTGATTTGAACTAAATGTTGTTTATTTTAGGTAATTTATCTATGTGTCTAATATTCATCTATTATTATTATGGCTCTCTCTCGCCCATTTCATCTGTAGTCCGACGACGTAGACTCGCCCTGGCAGGACATGTTGTTTGTAGTAACGAACCAGCTGGTAGACTGGTACAGTGAGACGTAGAGTGGGACGTCCTTATACTACACTGTTGTCCATGTTAGAGAGAGACACTGGTCTCACAGGGCCTGCATTAGTATCCGCTATGAGAGATAGGACATACTGGAGTAACTTTATCAAGTGTACCTCACCGGATTAGTATAAATCCGGAGGCATGATGATGATGATGATTATTGTTTTACAGACAGAGAATACCGGGCAGCAAAGCTGTTGTGTCTAGTGTCCATCCTCCCTCAGCAAATCAGGCTCCAGCTGCAACCATCGATGGCTGTTCCATGCCTAGGAGTCCCTCCCTCCGGCAGAGTGATGCTGTGCTGAAGGAAAGGGACCTGAGCTATACGGTAACCCAGCAGGGAGCCAGGAGGGAGAACAGCTTCTGGAACGTCATGGGAGTTCCAACCACAAGTCTCAAGGACCGTAAAAATAATCAAAGAACAAACAACATCTGGTGAACAGAACTGGGACGTGTTTAGAGTTAAAACTTTCGATCCAACACAAAAAGTTCTCTCACCTAGAGCTTTCGACCAGCCACTCTGGTCTTCCTCAGTAGACTGACCCAGTGAAGCTTGCCACGTGGCTTCTTTGAAGTGCGACATTAACACTGGTGTCTGGTAGACGATGGCACCCAGGCTAACCTTCCCAGTCATTCTGGTAGTGAGATACTCGCCATACAGTCTGAGGAATCTGTGCTTTCATCAAAAACTTTATTTGCACGATGCTGCTCTTTTTGTTGAAATAAGTTTGTTTCGTAATGTCTCATTCCTAATTTTCCTCTGTGCTTTTTTTATGTTTGAATATATGTATATATAGATAAAATAATTTGAGAGGAAATTTTATGTAACCAAGAGAGAACTATGTGATGAAAGTTGTTTTATTTTCATGATTCATATATTAAAAAGCAGGTTATTATATAATAAGCAGTAACTATTACCTCCATGAAAAACTGAAGTTTTGTTTTTTGGTGTCTGTGTCTGCCTGCCTGCGTGTATGTGTGTGCGCACATGTTTGTGTGTGTGCGCACGTTTGTGTGTGTGTGCGCATGTTTGTGTGTGTGCGCACGTTTGTGTGCGCACCCATGTTTGTGTGTGCGCGCACGTGTGTGTGCGTATGTGTGTGAAAAAGTACTATAACTTACTCATTTACTATACTCATATACAAAGAGAGTAACAGTTTGTAATACAACAGCCCTGTACCGTGCAGTATGGAGAGTGCAGTACCAACAAGCATCAGTGTGGAAGCATGTCTACCACTCCGAAGACCAACACGTTAAACAGGATAGTGAGAGAGGAAAACAGACCAGGTAGCTTTCTTCATTTATTGTCACATCTCATGACCTTCATTACTTTATGTACAGGTAAACAATACAGTAACTGTAAGTGTAAAATATCTTCCCTATCGAGATAGGTGCTATGCATATACAGAGCCTGCCACACCCTCCTCTGGACAGAGAAGGTAGAACTGAACAGAGCAGACTTTCAGGTAAAATCAAACTATAAAGCAGAATCTTTGAGGAGAAAAATAACATGGGTAAAAATAAATCAATTCTACTGTCATTTCAAAACTTGTTCACTTTCCACATTAAAATTTTAATCTGGGGAGACCGATCCCAAATCAAAACCAGGCTTCTTTCTTTGTGATGATTTCTCCATATTTGTACAAAGACATTAAATGTCATTCTTGCATTGAAAGATTCAAAATATTATGAATAGTTAAAATAACATAAAGATGCATTGATAATAATCAGCTAATTTAACAAAAATAATCATTCTAAAAGTATCAACAAAATGTAACAGTTACTAATTCAGCTGACTGCTTATTGATGTAACTTAATACAGACACTGGGTTGTGCATAAAGTGGCAAACATGTGGCAGATGTATACATGTAAAATGTTACAGTGTAACAGACAAACTGGCTACATTGCATGGAGGTTACAGGTATTTGTTACAAAGAAACAGGGACAGGGGGCGTCACTACCTGAAACCTGTATATGACTGTCTCTTGTCACGTGATTATCCCATCAAGACACCTGACAAGAGAACTCCAAGACGAGATGTGAATCGGGTTGATGAAGAGACAGAGTACGTCTCGAAAGCTCCCTAGTGTAGCTGAACGTTTGTTGTGTGTTTTGGTATAAATATTCGTCAAAATTATATATAATTATTAACCACTTCCCTTAGATATGAAACTAAAGAAATTTGGTGGCTCTTGCTGTTTAAAATTAAACACACATTAAAAGGATAAAAGAGGATAATAGATAAGCCACCTTCAGGTGATCTGAGACAGTCTTAAGGAGCTTCAGAAAAACTCCTGAAGACATTTACGTGTAGAGGGTCTCAGTCTTTAAGACATAGGATTATTCCTTCTGATAAGCATTGTTTCAGAACAGATGCTCTAAGGATCTAAAAATGTCTTAGAAAAGGTAGACAAGGTCACAAGACTGGTTGTAAGAAGGGGCATGTCTTCAGAATTGGTCTAAGGATCAAGAAATGTCTTAGAAAAGGTAGACAAGGTCACAAGACTGGGTCTAAGAAGGGGCATGTCTTCAGTAAAGTCTAAGATGCAGCATGTCTCAAGATGGGCAGATCTCCACAGCTTTCCTCAGGACAACATGGATGTCTCCGTCTGGGTAGTTCTGTAAATAAAGAAAACAAACAAACAAACAATGTGGATGTCTCTGGGTAGTTCTGTAATTTAACACTCAGGCAAATAAGACTGAATATTTCTGGGAAGTTTTGTGAAAAGTGCATACACCAAAAAGCAGTTACTCAGGCAACTGCATATGATATTGGAAACTGTTCACCATTTTACTGGCTCACCTGTAGTGTCCTCATGGTGTCCGAGAAATCCCCCTCCAGAATTCTAGTCCGGATACAGCTGAAAAAAAAATACAGAAAAATATAAAAAAAAACGTTTTTTTCAGACCATAGAGGCAGTTGGTTGCAAATCAGCATTTCTAAAAGACACAACATCTACTTAGGAATGCCAGGAATTAAACCTGGGACCCTTAGATATCCTATGTCCGCTAGCCTAGCCATCTGGCCATCGAAACATGCACAGTACTAGTACTTACATGATCATGGCACAGCATACACAGTACAAAAAGTCGAATCTTCGCCGATCTGCAAACAGAGAGTCCCAGACTCTGATCACATCTGAGGAAAAAGAAACAAACAAAACTTGTGAGAAACAAGGTTTGACTGACTAATGTCTGGCAGTGCTTCTGATCCAGTCTGTTTTCACATTTCTGTGTTGTTAATATGTATATACTCCAGTTTAAGGGAGTGAATTAAGTTAAAAGTTAATATATTTCTTTTATTAATAAAATTATAAACAGTATAGTGTTTAGCTAGTTCGTCTCAGTCCTGCTATTCATTTTGTATCTCTGTGAGTTTGTCTCACCTGGCATTTTAAACTCCTGTGACAGTAGCAAGGTCAACCATCTGAACAGGTAAAACTGTGGTCTTACTCCTCGATCCTCCTGGACACACAAACAAACAAACAAACATTAGCCATCTGGACAGGTAAAACTGTGGTCTGACTCCTCTGGTCTACCCCTGATTACCCAGACCATTCAGAACAGACGGCTGGCCCTTGCCGGTCATGTGGTACGCCACGAAGAGATGGCTGCCAAAGTGCTTCTCTGGCAACCAGATGTAAAGAGAAGGAGGGGACGTCCGTGCCTAACGTTAAAGAAACTGATCGAGGAAGAGGTTGGCTTACGGGACGAGGAACTTCTGTCCGCCATGCGAGACAGAGCCACATGGAGTGACATTACGAATGGCACCTTAGAGGATGACCTGAACTGCCTGAACTGAACTGACTCCTCTGTCCTCCTGGACACACAAACAAACAAACAAACAAACAAACAAACAAACATCAGCCATCTGAACAGGTAAAACTGTGGTCTGACCCCTCGATCCTCCTGGACACACACAAACAAACAAACAAACAAACAAACATTAGCCATCTGAACAGGTAAAACTGTGGTCTGACTCCTCTGTCCTCCTGGACACACAAACAAACAAACAAACAAACAAACAAACATTAGCCATCTGAACAGGTAAAACTGCGGTCTCACTCCCCGATCCTCCTGGACACACAAACAAACAAACATCAGCGAACTGAAGACAGAAAAATATTTGTTGAAAAAAATATTTTATTCTGTCCCAGAACAACTCCCAACAAAAACTGCAGACCTAAGCAGAACTGGTGTTTCTTCAGCGAATTAAGACATTTTGTGCTATAAGAACAGGTTTAAGAAGCTGTGGAAAGTTTAAGACTGTGTGTTTCCTTACCAGACATCTCCAGAGTTGCTGGTCGTGTTTCTTTATCAAAGTTAAGACTTTCTGTACTCTAAAAATAGGTTTAAGAAGCTATAGAAGGTTTAGGAAGCTAAAAAAGTGTTAGAAAGCCATAAAAAGTTTTAAGACTTTTTACGGCTTTCTAACACTTTTCTAGCTTCTTCAACTTAAAAGTCTTAAGACTTGTTTTCTTACCAAACATCTCCAGAGCTGCTGGTCGTGTTTCTTGAGCAGAGTTAAGACATTTTGTACTCTAAGAGCAGGTTTGAGATGCTTTAGAAGGTTTGAGAACCTGTACTACAAGGTTTAAGAACCTGTAGAATGTTTAAGACTGTGTTTTTCCTTACCAGACATCTCCAGAGTTGCTGGTCGTGCTTCTTCAGCAGAGTTAAGACATTCTGCATGGAAGAACCGATTCCTGAAGCCGAGTCGTCCAACATCTTAATGAAGTTATCTCTGATCTCAGACATCAGATTCGTGAAGCAGAAGAACGTGTCGGCCTCCGCGTGTTCTAAACAAACAAGTAAACATCAGGTTGGTGAAACAGAAGAACGTGTTGGCATCCGCGTGTTCTAAACAAACAAACAAATAAACAAACAACGGTTCCACCCTATAAAGACTACCTTCTATGTGTGAGCGATCACAGCTGGGATTTGAACCCCTTACCTTTGATCCAAAGCATCACAGATGCCACATGGATAATGACATCCATGACTCATTCTACTCCAATCAAAAAAAGACAATTTTGATATTACGTCCTTAGACACATCTTTAAGGTTCCTAACACATGATTAGACAGAAACAGTCCTTATGACCAAAAGGGCTAAACGTTTCATGCTAAGGAACAGTTCTGTTGAGCCCGTACCTTGCCAGTCCTTGTTTGGATCTGAAGCGAAGACGTAATACAGCGGTCCGATGATCTCATTCATGCCCTGCAGAAAACATGGGAACATCAGAAATTTGGCAACAAAAGTCAGCTATAAAATATAACATTTACACACTCAGCAACTTCACCTGTACATCATCAACAAAACCTCCTCTACCACCTCCCAGTTAACAAACAAACAAACACATAAACAAACAAACAAACCTGAACATATCCCTGCCCAGGGTTGAGTTTTGCGTACAGGAACAGAACTCTCTCCACCACCTCCCAGTGAGCCTCCTGACCCTCGGGAAGCGTCTCGTATTCCTCCACTGCCACCTTACGCCGCGTGCTCTAAAACAAACAAACAAACAAATAAATACCTTCAGCATCAAGCTCTAGCCTGGGAATAAACACACAATCTGATGTCACCTGCAGTTAAACTAAGTGGAGTTCGTGGGGTTAGATTTACCAGAAACCATTTTCTTGAGACAACAGTTAACTTTGTTGTCTTCTTTAACTTTGTTAACTTTAGTTGTAGAAGACCAGACAGAAGTCCCTGTACTTTTTGTTGTGTTAGAAAAGAATCTCTATTAATCAGAGACAAGACAATATATGAGATCTCTTCCTGACCAATCACACAAAACAATGTCTTCCTGACCAATCAAAAGATAGGACACATGATGACCATGGCCTTCACACAGACCAATCAAGAAGCAGAACGCATGAAACTCTTAACCAATGAGAAAAGAGAACACTTGTTTCTAACCAATGAGAGAAGAGGACACATCTCACGTTAGTGACGGTGATTCCCAGCCGGTTTTTCCCAACGTTTGCTGCCTTCAGGATCGTGTGCTCGACGCGTTTCCTGAGAGTCTCAATCCCGCTCTCGGCATTCACCAGTCGCTCGCACGGGTGGTCGGTCGCCTGCTGGAAAAACGAGATGTCCGGACACAACCGCCTGCAACATACGCGTTACCATGGTTACAAACAAACAAACAAAGGGCACAACCGCCTGGAACATACGGGTACCGTGGTTACAAACAAACAACAAACATCTGTCCAAACTGGCTGTTCTGTAACCCAAAACGTTTTAAGTGGCTCCCATGAGCCTTGTTTTGTGGTGACCGATGAAGTAAATAGAAAAAAAAAAGCCGTTAGCAGGGGTGGTCTGTCGCCTGCTGGAAAAACGAGATGTCCGGACACAACCGCCTGGAACATACGGGTTACCATGGTTACAAGCAAACAAACAAATAAACAAATGAACAAACAAGCAAACAAAACAGGAACGCAGGGGTGGTCGGTCGCCTGCTGGAAAAACGAGATGTCCGGACACAACCGCCTGGAACATACGGGTTACCATGGTTACAAGCAAACAAACAAATAAACAAATGAACAAACAAGAAAACAAAACAGGAACGCAGGGGTGGTCTGTTGCCTGCTGGAAAAACGAGATGTCCGGACACAACCGCCTGGAACATACGGGTTACCATGGTTACAAGCAAACAAATAAACAAATGAACAAACAAGCAAACAAAACAGGAACGCAGGGGTGGTCTGTCGCCTGCTGGAAAAACGAGATGTCCGGACACAACCGCCTGGAACATACCGGTTTACCGTGGTTACAAACAAATAAACAAACAAACAAACAAGGACGCAGCTGCCATGGAACGGTCAGGTACTCTCATGTCCCTAATAAACATACCCCCCGGAATAAACAAACCCCCCGGACAAATCGTCAAAGTCTAATAAACATACCCTCCGGAATAAACGTACCCCCCGGAAAATGACCAAATTGACAGGTGAACTGTGTGTGCATGATACTAAAATGTGATCTTTATTTCAATACCAATATATTGGCAAATCTTTCACTGTTACATTTAATTAGTGAGTATATATCACTTTAATTAATGAGTATATATATATTGTACTTGTTTTGGGGAAATACAAAATCCGTAGGAGAAGCTATTGCATTTTACACTTCTGAAATGCACTTTGCTAAGCCTTCTCCTGCAACTTGAGTTGAAAATCTGACTAACTTAAGAGATAGAAAATCAAGCCCAATTAAGTACAAATATAGGGGTTTAATGAGTATATCTACAACAAAATCCATTTCAACATAATAATTATTTGGTATGGTACATTGTCTAGTCTGGTCAAAGTCTGGATTCTGAAGAAGAAAAACTTCTGAAGAAAAAAACTTTTGAAGAAAAAAAATATTATTCAGCATAAAATTTCGATTGGTTTCCATCTCATTGTTTTTTTAAAAATCGATAATGTGATTGTATCAATTTTAAACGCCCTAAAATTAGCTAAATCGGCCCTTTTTTACGGTGATTGCGCAATATGGGTGCCCTATGACCTTTGACTTTTTACGGGTCATGCTGCTCAGGCGCTAGGCGCCCTCCCCACGTCGGCCGTCCGTCTTGTGGGCAAATTTCTACTTTTTTAGGGGTTTCGGGACCTAAAAACTAACACCAGAGGGAAAATAAACCACATACATTTTTTTCATGGTAAATATCGCTAAAATGGACCAGGCATTTTTCTGCCGCGTTGCCGATTTTGACAAGGACTTTTGACAAGGATTTTTTTCCCAAAAATTAATAAACGTACCGTCCCTAATAAGAATGTACCGGGTGGACGTTCGGGCCGAAAAAAATAAATGTACCGGTACGTTTAATCGGGACATCAGAGTAGGGTGGTTACAAACAAACAAACAAAAACATACCTAAAACATATGTTAGTCTGGTTTTTTGCTTATGATATATTCTACAAAACTTTTACGAACTCCAGATACTCATCCTTACAAGAACTAAGGTGACAACATCTAAGAAGTTACCTGATATCTTTGATTGATGATAAGACTTTACCTGACGTCCTTGTCTATCTGCAGCAGAACGTCGTTGTCCTTGAAGTACTGACTCCACTGGCTGTCTGGGTTTGGGTTCAGCGGCTGGGGGAGGGAGGGAAGGAAGGAAGGAATAAATGAATGAATTAATGCATAAATAAATAACTGAATTAATGTATGAGTGAATTCATGCATGAATGAATGAGTGACTTAGTGAGTGGATAAATGAATGAATTCATGAATAAAAGAATGAATGAGTGGATGAATAGATGGATGAATGGATAAATAAATGATTGGATGAATGAATGAGTGAATGAATGGATGTATGAATGAAAGAGTGAATAAATGAATGAATGATTGAATGAATGAATGAATGAATGAATGAATGAATGAATGAATGAATGAATGAATGAATGAATGAATTAATGAATGAATGAATGAATGAATGAATGAATGAATGAATGAATGAATGAATGAAAGAAGAACCAACTCAGAACCTCACAAGCTGTGGGCACTTGCAAGGAAACACCCCAAGCACTTGAAGTCTCTACAAAAACTGGTTCACCTAAGCACAGTCCCGGTAAACCACATCCCTAAGTTGTGCCCTACTTGCAGCTCACCAACACAGGACATAGTTGGACACCTGGTAACACAGTGCAACACTTTCAACAACCTCAGAGCCAGCCTGGTAGATACAGCGACTGACAGACTAGGCACCGCAATAATGGCGGCAGTCAACCAGCAGTCAGATGAGAGGCTGACAGAAATCTTCCTCGGTGCAGAGATTGTGGAAGGGGAAGTGGCTGAGAACGTCTGGGAAGACTTTATGATAAACATTGCTGGGCTGATACGCCCCCTGGCGACCATGGCCGTGAAGCACACACGAGATGTACTGTGGAACTGTTTGAACTGAACTGATCTGATCTGATTTGAATTGTATTGAAAATGAAAACTGCTGGACAGTATTTTCATAGATAATTGACGTCACTCAATACGTTCCTCGTTACAGATTTTATCTCTAACATAGTAACTGCATGACTGTAGGAGAAAAATTATTTTAATTTATGTGTTTTGTAATGTTGTGTAATCATGAATTTTAATGTTTACGGCTCTCCGAAAGTGGAGGAATAAAGAAAGGAAAGGAAAGGAATGAAAGAAGAACCTACATGGTCTGCGAAGGTGACGTCCTCCCTGGAGTTCCCCGAGCCCTGCTTCCCGGGGGTGATGATCAGCTCTTCCAACAGCTGCTGGTACACCCCTCTGCAACAGGGAAACATCCTCGTAAGGGTCAGACCACAGTAGTCTCCACCAGACTTCTTTTGTGGGTGAATAAATCGTAGAAATCGGCCTTAAAAGGGTATTAATTGGCCAGAGAAGGTAGCTGGCCAGGCGGGGAGCTGCAGCTTCGAAAAAATTAATGAAAAGTGCAATAAAACATGATGACGCCATGCATATTTTACCAATTTTTTTTTTGGTAACCTGTATGTTCCGATTTCTACGATTTATTCACCCCGCAAAAGAAATCTGGTGGAGACTAAGACCACAGAGGGGCTGCCATCATGTACTCGCCAAGCAGAGGTTTGCGTTTGGGGTTATTTTTGGTGTGATTTTAAGTTTTTATATCGGCCTTTCCTTTTAGCACTGGATTTTTTTTTGGGGGGGGGGGATTCCAGTGAGTGCAAAGAGGAAAGCCCAGTAAAAAAGACTAAAAACATGGCAAAAATAACCCAAAAACACAAAATGTTGGCTTCTACAGCATGTCGGCAGAACGTACTGCACCCGCGCGAAACCCTGATTTTTCACGGTTTTCGTTGTATGTTTGACCTGTGTATATTTTGTCCTGATTCTGATTACATCATCGAAATTTGTGCATAATTGCTGATTATATCACTGAAAGAGTAGAGTTAGTGACATCACAGGGACCTGTGCACATTTGTTCAGCTAAACTCATACAAACATTAGATATTACCCTGGGTGCCAGACTAGTATCGGGCCGCTTACCCTTTCCCTTCGGCAGCCAGAAGCCCTTCTCCCGCCGGTCTAAATTACTGCTACAAGGAGTTTAGCCCAGGAGAATTTGTCTGGCCCTGGAGCTGTAAGGACAAGCCAAACTCCCCTAGTCTAGACTCCCCTGTAGCAGTATTTGAGACCGACCGGGCAGGAGAAGGGCTTCTGGCTGCCGAAGGGAAACGGCTAGCGGTCCGATACTAGTCTGGCACCCAGGGTAATAAAAAAAGACATTTCTTCATTGTTGTATCAAGCAACATGAAAAGTCCAACCTGTGTTAACCCAAGTTACATCTAAGACAGTGAACCATCCTTTAAGTGTCTGACCTTTGTTTCTTGAGGAAGTCGGGCCAATCTGTGGTGAGAGGCGGCAGGTAGTTCAGCAGGATCTGGGGAAGGTCAAGGTCAAGGTAAGACAGAGCAATTACATGTACAGTACTACTACTAGTACTTAATTGTTCTATCATAATTCAAAGTTCACATACACTTTTGCAGGGTATTCTGCTATATATATGATGACTTTTTATGTATTTATGATAAAAAGGACTGATTGAGAAATGATGTCTTGTATTTCTAGTCATGTTTGGTGTGTGTGCGTAAATGTCATGCGAGTATGTGTCAGGGGGTGGAGGTGGGTCGGGGATTTACATTGTTGTGTGTTTATTTTGTGTGTGTATGGCCACAACATTTTACAAAATAGGGCATAACATTACTAATATCCCTACCGATAAACTGCTCAGGCCAGCTCAGGGGCGTACCCGAGGGAGTCATCAGTATAAATACCAACCTATACACACACGTACAGACGTCTATAAATATTCCCTCTTCCCCCGCACCATCCCACAATGGAACGCCTTGCCTGGCCCGGTAATCATGGCTCCCACCGTTGAGTCCTTCCGGGCCAGGCTGGAGGCCTGCCCGCCTTAAACCAAGGCCTCCCCCCCTCCCCTAAAGTGCCCCAATAGGGGCTATATGGGGGTGTAGCCGGGGCTTGTATAACATCTTAGAGCCCCGGCAAAGATGAAGATGAAGTATAAGAAGGGGGGTTACAATATTGTTTGTTTATTTTGTTCTCACCTTCCAACACTTTGCCCTCAGCCCCCGGCCATCGGGGATCCCTAAAGAACAAAATAAAACAGTTTGGACAGCAGCTCATTATAAATTATTATGACTTATAGTTAAGTTATACAATCTTCACATACATGTATGACCTGCTTTGGTCAGTATCGAATCCTTACTTGTCACCAGCCCTACAGTTATACATGTTTGTTATGTCATTCACCAATTTCACACTTCCCATATGATATGACGTAAGGCCATGCCCCTCCCCCTTCCTCGATGTAATATTTCCAACAAGTTCTATCGACAAACTGGTCAACTATCCTTTTGAATTATTTCTCTAGTATAAAGCGCATGCCATAATTGCATTTTTTGTTGGAATTAGAGAAAATGATGTTCCTTCTATTGTTCTACATTCTACCGAAGACTCTCCTACTCGCACGGTCGCATTACGTATATCATGGAGGACCTCCATGCGTATAATTTAGAATGATAGAAGGTACGTCATTTTCTCTAATTCCAACAAAAATGCAATTATTTATGGCATGCGCTTTATACTAGAGGAATAATCCAAAACGATAGTTGACCAGTTTGTCGATAGAACTTGTTGGAAATCGAGGAAGGGGGAGGGGGGTTGGTCTTACGTCATATCCGTGATCTTTACTAGGCATTATGGGAAGTGTGAAATTGGTGAATAGCGATTTGGGTCAGAACAAGGGATTGACAACTAACAGGTCAAAGGTCAGTCTGGTATGTAAACAAACGACTTTAACCTTCTTTCTCTGCTTTTAATCTTTATTTCATACATTAAACACCAAAACAAGACAATGACTTAGCTAAGGTTCTATTGTAGATTACCCAGGTTTCCAGTGCGTGTATGACTGTGACTTTATTTACTACATTAACATGTTAACGTTACACGTATGAAATTATGTCAATGAAAACTCACTGAAGTCGTGCCGAATAAACGACAACGTTTTGCCGTTCCTTTGCTAAGTAAAAGAAAGTGTGCACCCCTTGCCTAGTTTAGAAAACTGACTCAAGATTTAGCTCAACTTTACGCGATGACAGGATAAACAAACAAACAAACAAACAAACAAACAAACAAACAAACAACGAACAGCCAGTAGGTCACGAGACGAATCCGTCTTACCTTGGAAGCACAGCGATCTAAGATGTTTGACGTCAATTTTCTCCGTCTCAAGACAGTCCTCAAACTCCTTCAACCTGTAAGAAAGAAACCAAGACGATCAGAAACGTCTTAGGACGAAGATGTGAAACTTTAAGAGACGGAAAGACGGAGAAAATCCACAGGTTCGCAGTAAAAACAACACCTACCTGGCCCTGTACGTCGCCATTTTGGAAATGATGATGATGATGGTGAGAGCGCTCGCTTCTCACGAGCGCAGACTAGCGGAAAGTATCGGTGGTGCAAGATGAGGTCGCCAATGGCATGGTGACTACATGAACGATTAACAAGTATTTGGAGATCTAATACCTACATGAAATATGTAGAGTTGATGTAAATTTGTTTAGCGGATTTTATTGATTCTGGAAATTAGATCGTAATAACTATAACTCAAATTACAGTATTTTGCTTTTGAAATTCCTATCTTTTGATCTCCTTTGGCAATATTTCAATTCAACATGTCCTGATTGATCATGTAAATGACCTCTATATGACCTGAGGGCACTATGCACTGGAAAGGTATACAAGTGAGAACTTGTGTCATTTAGCCTCTGTGAAGAAGCCACTCAGGCGAAACCGGTCGTGTGACAGGCTGAATAAAAGTTCTAAACGGGAACTATGCGGCTCCAGGTGTCTTACTGAGGGACGACTGCGTGTGCAAGATGTCGGTTAGCTTGAGGAATGAATCCCCTCTAGTACAAACTGACCTCTATATTATCATAATATAAACATAGTCATGTTAACCTAACACATGTTACAAGGTATAAAATTCTCATTATTCACATAAGAAATCACAGATTTGTCGTAGGCCGAGAATACAATACTCGAACCCTTACTAACTGTCTGCTCCTTCTCCTATCACAAGTCTCTAGTCTTGAATCTTTCTTGTCTGTTTTGCCAAGTCTTCTTATTCTCTACGTCGATGAAGGTTATACATCCAGGTAATACGATACGCCAAAAAATAGTTACTCAAGCAACTGGATATGATTTTGAAAACGTCATATAATTTAAGCAACTGGATATGATTTTGAAAACGTCAGACGTTTCAGCTAGTATCCACTAGCTTTCGTCATTGACTGAGAGACCAGAGGGGAAAGCAGGTTTATAAGCACAACCTATTGATTGATATTCAAATAAAGTGAAGACAAGTTTTTGGAAGTCGAAAAGGAACAAAAGTCAGACAAGTCAAGACAAGATGATGCAAATTAGTCTGAAGCTCCTGTTATACAGAACAGGAGCTTAAGTGTTGTCTGTCCTCGGGGCTGGGAGTGCCAAATCCCAAGTGCCGGAAAGATCGACCCGTAGCCCCCCTTCCCTGTTGAGGGTGGGGTTGTACATTCTTTCATATATTGCCTCTTTAACGCCCCGTTCCCACCAGCGTGTTTCACGGTCTAAGATATCCGTGGACTCGAGTTTGAAAGAGTGACCCTGGTTGTGTTGTAGGTGGTGGAAAATAGCTGAGGAGTAGCCGTTCGTACTAGGTCGGCAATGTTCTTTGTATCTTACTTTGAGCGGTCGACTTGTCTCTCCGATGTAGGTGTTGTTGCAATTGGGCTCCTCACATTTGAGTCTGTAAATAACATTCGCCTTGGTACCTTTGTGAGGTCGGTCCTTAGGGTGTACCAGTCTTTGTCTGAGGGTTGAGTGAGGTTTGAAGTTAGTGGCTATGTTGAAGTTTTGGAAGATCCGTCGGAGTTTCTCAGATACGCCTTGGACATACGGAATAGTGATGTTGGCCTTGTTTTTGTTGGTCAATGGTTTGCACTTCTGGGTTTTCTTAGACTGATCTGAAGGTTTGAGCGCTTTGTTGAAAGTCCAGTTTTGGTAGCCACATTTAGCCAGGACACCTCGGAGGTGTTTTTGTTCGTCCGTTTTGGCTTGGTTTGAAGTAACAATGTTGTCTGCACGATGGAAGAGAGTTTTGATCACTGCTAGTTTGTGTTCCAAAGGGTGGTGGGAATCAAAAGCCAGGTACTGATCAGTGTGGGTTGGTTTCCTGTACACATCGAAACGAAGGTTACCATCTTCCTCTACGATAGTTTTGGTGTCTAGGAAAGGGAGCATGTTGTCATGGCTTGGCTCCTGTGTGAACTTGATGTTGTCATCTATCTGGTTGATGTGGTCAAAGAAATCAGCAGCTACCCTCTTTTTCAATCTGCACCAAGTGACGTTTTCAAAATCATATCCAGTTGCTTGAGTAACTATTTTTTTGGCGCTTCTTATTCTCTATTGTCTTGTTGTTTGTTTCTTGTTTAATGTCTCTTTATTCTGTATTGTTTCTTTATTGTCTTGTTTGTTTGCCTGTTTAATTTAATAGAGGGACCGGGGGCCAAAAATCGTGAGCGGTTTTGACCGTGTCAGTATTTTATTGCCTTACTAAAATTATGCAGTTTGATCGAGTTCATAATAAGATTTTATTTCATATATACATGTACATGCAGCAAATGTCATCATATAGTTTCATCATAACTAACTGCCGATCCCGTTTCTAGTGACTATTCTTGATAGTTGGTGGCTTTTCTGTAATCTCTACGAGCCAAACTCAGCCCCAAAAGTGTCTTTACAACATCAGGATGTTCAGTGTTCTCACCATGGATACTCCGCCTCATCTGTAGTGCCTGTTCAAAATAGCTGACGGCCTTTCTGTGATCACCAAGGTTCCACCAGGCGGCACCCAAGTTGTTAAGTGACGCGGCGATGTCAGGATGTTCAGTGTCCTCACCATAGATTTTCCTCCTCATCTGTAGTGACTGTTCATGATAGCTGACGGCCTTTCTGTGATCACCAAGGTCACTCCAGGCGTTACCCAAGTTGCCAAGTGACGCGGCGATGTCAGGATGTTCAGTGTCCTCACCATGGATACTCCGCATCATCTGTAGTGCCTGTTTATCATAGCTGACGGCTTTTTTGTGTTCACCAAGGTTACTACAGGCAGTACCCAAGTTGTGAAGTGACGTGGCGATGTCAGGATGTTCAGTGTCCCCACCATGGATACTCCGCCTCATCTGTAGTTCCTGTTCAAAATAGCTGGCTGCCTTTCTGTAATCACCAAGGTTACTCCAGGCGGTACCCAAGCTGTTAAGTGATTCGGCGATGTCAGGATGTTCACTGTCCTCACCATAGATACTCCGCCTCATCTGTAGTGCCTGTTCACAATAGCTGACGGCCTTTCTGTAATCACCAAGGTTACTCCAGGCGGTACCCAAGTTATTAAGTGAGTGGGCGATGTCAGGACGTTCAGTGTCCTCACCATGGATACTCCTCCACATCTGTAGTGCCTGTTCACAATAGCTGACGGCCTTTCTGTAATCACCAAGGTTACACCAGGCGAAACCCAAGCCGTTGAGTGAGTTGGCGATGTCAGGATGTTCAGTGTCCCCACCATGGATACTCCGCCTCATCTGTAATGAATGTTCATGATAGCTGACGGCCTTTCTGTGATCACCAAGGTGACTCCAGGCGTTACCCAAGTTGTGAAGTGAGTCGGTGATGTCAGGATGTTCAGTGTCCTCACCATAGATACTCCGCAACATCTGTAGTGACTGTTCGTGATAGCTGACGGCCTTTCTGTGATCACCAAGGTCACTCCAGGCGTTACCCAAGTTGTTAAGTGACGTGGCGATGGCAGGATGTTCAGTGTCCTCACCATGAATTTTCCGCCTCATCTGTAGTGCCTGTTCAAAATAGCTGACGGCCTTTCTGTGATCACCAAGGTCACTCCAGGCGGCACCTAAGTTGTTAAGTGAGTCGGCGATGTCAGGATGTTCAGTGTCCTCACCATAGATACTCCGCCTCATCTGTAGTGCCTGTTCAAAATAGCTGACGGCCTTTCTGTGATCACTAAGGTTCCAAAAGGCGGCACCCAACATGTTTAGTGACCAGGCGATGTCAGGATGTGGTGTTCCCTCACCGTGTTTAGCAACCTCATCCTGTAGTGACACTTCCATGCATGATATTACCTTTTCGTACTCACACAGACTGTTATATACGGATGCTTGTAACGTCGGTGAGTTGTCAAACAGAACAGGAGGTTCTACCGTCGATGGGTACATTTCGATAAGTTCTGGAATAAAGGCCTTTAAAGGCATTGCTGTTCCATAGTACCTAATCAGCTGTTTTTTATTGGAGAAGTAAAACACTTTCTTCAACTTCTCCCCCATATTTGTGTTAGCAGACATGGACGATAAGGCTGACATGTTCTCCACCTGTCCACGGTTGTTCATGTATGTCCGCAGCCTCAGTTCTGCTGAGATGCTGACCAGCACCATCAAGTGATGCGCGTTCTCACTGTTGATGACTCCGTTCTTGTGCATCTTCTGAATAGTCTCCCATATTGTGGTGGGCTGTATACCATAGAGTAGTGCCCAACACGACACTGCAAGGGTCGAAAATCGATAGATGTCTTTCTTCACATCTAGGAGTCTAGATACTGGACCTTCTGGTGTAAACTTTTCCAAATTTGTTTCTTCAGTCATTATGGTCATTGCCTGTAACTCAGATACCAGATACCTATCACTGCTTTGTAGTAGCTGAGTCCACACGTCGGAATACACATCGACCAAGTCCTGGTCTCCTGTGATCAAACACACATTCCCCAATATGGTGGCGAGATGGTAGCCTTTGTTTGAATGGAAAGTCGGGTCGTCTTGCATGATTTTGTCCATGTAACGCAGCACGTCTTCTATCAAAACATATGTCATCTCACTCGGTGTATGAATAAGTTCAGCTGTTTCCCCCCTGCCCAGTGGAGTCTTGCACGCATGCGGCATGGATCCGTCGAACGCGAACCCGCGCGGCGTTACAGAGTCGTAGAACCAGCTGTTCGGTGGGTCTTTAGAAAAATCATTCAGAGACTTGATCGCCATGGCCGGGAGGATAGTTTCTCCCAGGTTGATGACTTTGAGATGCAGATAGTGAGTGAGGTTGCGGAAATACTCGACGTTACTCTCTGTTTCCTCCTCTATCAGGATGGCGAACTCCAGATCAGAGTACGGGGTTACTAACCCTGTGGCCTGTGAACCCAGGCCTATCATGGCGTATTTACAGGGAGGGGGACCCATTACCTCCATACATTCATCTACAAGGCCAGATATGAACGTTTTTCTCTGTTCAACAATTGTTGTTTGGAATAAAGTAAAGATTGCTTCCGCTCTCTGCTTCTCCACTTCTCTTATGTCTGGATCATCGTCATTAAAACTATAAGGATCGATCTCCTGCTCAATTTTTTCGAGTTCATCTTTCACTTGTTTTCGACTTTCCGTCAACACCAGTTTGTGTTTCTCCGAGTCACTGGTGTTCACTACTTGTTTGATCCCCAGCACATGCTCAACAAATAACTGGCTAACTTGTAGGATTGTTTGTTTGATGCCTTCCCTGTCCTCTGTCCTTGCTCTGACCAGTGCGGCATTACGGAGTGCTGCAGCCTTGGTGAAGTCACTCCCGTCTTTCGACGTCTTTCCTCTTTCCAGGTAGACATCGCTTAACCTGCACAGGGGCTCCGTCTCTTTCTTGTGTTGTTCTGTGTTTGGTCCTAAGGAAACAACGATTTTAGATTATATAAAGATACTTGACTAGATTCTGTATTAATCGCTCATATTATGTATTTCAAAGCGCACAAATATAACGTACGTTTCACATGAACGGCCCTGAGCGCAGCTGCAAAGTGCTTCTCTGCCGTGTCCAGGTCTCCAGTCTGTAGGGCTCTGCAACCCTTTTGTAACTCTTCTGTGTACAGCCTGCAACATAGTAATACATGTTTGCTGCAGGATTAGAAATAATTGACGCAGTATATTAGCATTGGCGGGACAGATTTTGATGCGTTCATTTTAAATTTCTACACCTTAACCTAATTCAAAACATGGGTAAGTTAGTTTTACAAAAGACAGGAAAACTAGATTGATGTAACGCACCTGGAATTGTCTGCTGTAGGGAGGCCATGACCTTGAGGAACAGTCGTGACCTTGGTAGCTCCAGTTGGCGGACAGATGTTTGTGCTTTTTCCTCTCAGGAGCAACTAAAAGTAACAATTGAAGAAACCTCAATGTCTGAACTAACGATTGACCAAACTTCAATTTAACAATAGATTCACAATGAAAAGTCTCAGCATCAGAAAGAATCTGATGAACATGTTGGCAACGGCACCAAAACAAAATGTAAAACACTTACTCGTGCTCTTCTTTCCGCCATGTCTCTCTTGACTTTTGCTGCGTGCAGTAAGCGATGTGTGAGGACGGTTTTCCCATGTGGATCGTCACATCGCTCCAGGGCTGTGCTGTACAGGGCTGTAGCCTTGGTCAAGTGTCTGGGCTCCTTTAAGTCTCTTCCTCTCTTAAGGTTCACGTCTCCGAGACTTTTTATAGCCTCTACTTGCAACAGATTGTTCTCCTGCACTATTCCTTCTACAAGAACCTTCGTGTAGCCCTCTAAGATGGAGTCCATATGGCCACCACTAGCCCATACCTTATCTAAGTCTTGAAATACTTCTGAAGTACTTGCAACATAATCAATGCGTGTGTTCCTGGTTGATCCAGTGATGGGCGTTTTCTGCCTGAGTTTTTCGGCGAGTTTGACCCTATGTTGGAGAGACTCGCCTTCCCCCGGGTCCTCACACCGGAGCAGCGCGGCCCTGTACAAGTTCAGGCCCCGCTCCAAGTTCCGCGGAGCTTCGGTCTTGTGGAGTCTTCCTTTCTCCACGTTCAAGTCTCCCAGGCTCTTCAGTACCTCCACTTCCTGCAGCCTGTCCATATCAGACATGGCGGCCAGAAGGGCGCGGCCGTACCCCGTCTCGGCCAGGTCATACCTGTTAGCCGCCACAAACCTCCGGCATTGCACGTCTGCAGGGAGAAGGGTCCCCGCAACACGCAGCATGTTTGTTCTGTAGACATTGTATGAAATGGACTAATTAATTTTGGCACATATTTGATTAGATTATATATTAGATTATTAGATTATTATATTCGATTACGTCTTCCATGGTCTAAAAAAGAGAGGTCAAACCCCTTAAGCTTAGACATAGTTTTAGACATAGCCATAGCTCTAGACAACTCCCTTTTATCATGGAGATTTTAGTCATTTCATACTACGTTTCATTGTTCTGTTTGTAATCTGCAATTAGCCCCCCCGGGGCATGAATTTGCAATAAACTTCACATTATAATAGACACGGAGATTATTTGTGCAGTAGAACAATTAAAATTGCTTCAAATTTTTAAAAAGAATCGTTAAGAAATGACAAACTCCAAACTTTATAAAAGTTAATGAAGGTACAAAAATCTTCATGTCGTTTATGTATATGTCGTCTACGTTTTGAGGCAGCCAGAATCCAACTGTGAACTTTGCAGCAGGCAGATATGGGTGATGCAATCGCGCGGTAAATATTTAACTTCCACTAAAACTGTAGAACATTCGTGCGGGGTCGCAGTGTCACAATGACGTATTCGCAATAGGACAGTCCTGATTGGATCACATAGACACGTGACCATAGTCCAAAGTCGACCAATCACGCGCTAGTCAGGAGGTAAATATTACACGTCATGTTTACCTTTGACCTCCGCCTGTGTGTTTTTATAATATAATAATCAATTAATACCAGTCTGAGAGATGTTTTTTACTTTCTTATCTTTTATATGTACATTGTATGTGTACCAGATTTCTTCCCAAGACATTGTTCATTAGCTGCTATTGTAACAGTTATATTATTGTTTTTGTAGGTGTTGTTCTCGATTGAAAACACCGTGAAAACACTTGAGGTAACATTAGTCATGGGAACCCCCTGAGCATGTTGGATCAAACACAGAGTCACAAGACTGTTATGTCTGACCTATGGAAACTCAAACAGTTTCTATTGACTTACCAACAGTACTCATTAACTGACAAGTCAACAGTGGAAAGCCCCATTTCGTAGACCTTCAAGGTGCAAATATGATAAAACAAAGTACGCCGGAGATGCTTAAGACTCTACACTTTCTTACGCCTTATCCGCAATTGTACCCAATTTTCTTGTTGAGACATAAGATGTTGTTGTTTTTCTAAGTGTTTCTCGACTCTGTGAAAACACTTGACGACTGGCATGAGTCATGGGGTTTTGCAGATTTTTCAGTCCTTACCTTTCCCGATCTTGCTGAATTGCACAGTTATAAATGTTAGTGCCCTCCTAAGCCCACTTCCCACCTCAGAGCTTTTTGATGTTCACAAAACAGGCAGAAAACCTTTCTGTCCCTACAACCTACATGTATGACCCCCCTCAACCAAACTATTTTCTTGTAAAAGAAACACGTTTTTGATCAATTTTGCATCTATAGAATGTCGTTAGATTAATAGTAAGAGCATGTTAAGTTTAGACCATGCAATACCTACATTTGTACAACGGGTTTTTTTTTCTCAACAGTAAGGTTAAGGTATTGCTGAATGGGTTTGAGTATACAGACAGCCGTACTCACCTGTTTAGTCTGGTCAGTACTGTGTTATCCTCGTGACCGCTAAGTATAGAGAACAGCGGGTCTGTCCGTGAAAACGTGAGTTTCACCTGTAGGTTGGAGGTAAGACTGACGCTCCCAGCTCGCCTCTCGCACCTGCGGAAGTCCCCAGGTGTGACCTCACCTTTTGTACCGCGCGGGGGCGTCTGGGAAGGGGGATCCTACGAACTATATTTGGGCAGAAGGGTGACGTATTCGTTTGTGTAAATGTTGTAAGGGGATTTGTCTCATTGATTATGGAAATTAGATCATAATTAACGTAATCTAGTTTAATTTATGTTTTTTTTTTAACTCAAATTACTGTATAATTACAATATTTTCCTTTGGATATTCCTATCCTTTGATTGATGCAAAAGACCTCTATATTAACATAATATATTTACTCTATTTACAACAACTATTCTATATGATGATTTGTAGAAGTGGAACACAGATTTAAAACTGTTTAGGTGGTTTTATTTTTTTTAAATAATTGCATCTGTTTATATTATATATTTTTTTCCTAGAATAATTGTATCTGTTTATATGTGTAACCTTACTTGTTGTCCCGAATGGTGTAGCTGTCACGGTAACGTTACTTGTTGTATGTTGACTTACATCTTGGGTATCAGCCTTTTGTGACTGTAAGTCTGTGTAATGTGCTATTTGCATTTGAAATAAATAAAAATAGTACATAGTGATGTTAACCTTACACATGTTACAAGGTATTAAATTCTCTTTATTCATATAAGAAATCACAGATTTGTCGAAGGCCGAGAATATAATACTCGAACCCTTACTAACTGTCTGCTCCTTCTCCTATCGCAAGTCTCTAGTCTTGATCTTTCTTCTCTGTTTTGCCAAGTCTCCTTATTCTCTATTGTCTTGTTTAATTTTATGGAAGGACCGTTGGCTGAAAATCGTGAGCGGTTTTAACCGTGTCAGTATTTTATTGCCTGACTGAAATTATACAATATGATCAAGTTCATAATAAAATTCTATTTCATATATACATGCAGCAAATGTCATCATATAGTCTCATTATGATTAACTCTCGACCACGTTTCTAGTGACTATTCTTGATAGTTGTCGGCGAACTTTCTGTAATCGAACCAGACTCAGCCCCTTTAGTGTCTTTGCAACATCAGGATGTTCAGTGTCCTCACCATGGATACTCCGCCACATCTGTAGTGCCTGTTCATAATAGCTGATGGCCTTTCTGTAATCACCAAGGAACCCACACATGGCACCCAAGTTGTGAAGTGACGTGGCGATGTCAGGATGTTCAGTGTCCTCACCATGGATACTCCGCCTCATCTGTAGTGACTGTTCAAAATAGCTGACAGCCTTTTTGCAATCACCAAGGACCCCACACATGGCACCCAAATTGTGAAGTGACGCGGCGATGTCAAGATGTTCTGTGTCCTCACCGTGGATACTCCTCCTCATCTGTAGTGACTGTTCATAATAGCTGACAGCCTTTTTGTAATCACCAAGGTCCCTCCAGGCGTTACCCAAGTTGTTAAGTGACGTGGCGATGCCAGGATGTTCAGTGTCGTCACCATGGATACTCCGCCTCATCTGTAGTGCCTGTTCAAAATAGCTGACGGCCTTTCTGTAATCACCAAGGACCCCACACATGGCACCCAAGTTGTTAAGTGACGTGGCGATGCCAGGATGTTCAGTGCCCTCACCATGGATACTCCGCCTCATCTGTAGTGCCTGCTCATGATAGCTGACGGCTTTTTTGTGTTCACCAAGGTGACTACAGGCGTTACCCAAGTTGTTAAGTGACGCGGCGATGTCAGGATGTGGAGTGTCTTCACCTATAGATACTCCGCCTCATCTGTAGTGTCTGTTCATGATAGCTGATGGCCTTTTTGTGATCACCAAGGTTACCCCATGCGTTACCCAAGTTGTTAAGTGACGTGGCGATGTCAGGATGTTCAGTGTCCTCGCCGTAGATACTCCGGTACATCTGTAGTGCCTGTTCATTATAGCTGACGGCCTTTCTGTGATCACCAAGGTGACTCCAGGCGGTACCCAAGTTGGCAAGTGACTGGGCGATGTCAGGATGTTCAGTGTCCTCACCATGGATACTCCGCCTCATCTGTAGTGCCTGTTCAATATAGCTGACGGCCTTCTTGTGATCACCAAGGTCACTCCAGGTGCCACCAAGTTGTTAAGTGACAAGGCGATGTCAGGATGTTCAGTGTCCTCACCGTGGATACTCCGCATCATCTGTAGTGACTGTTCATAATAGCTGACGGCCTTTTTGTGATCACCAAGGTGACTCCAGGCGCCACCCAAGTTGTTAAGTGACAAGGCGATGTCAGGATGTTCAGTGTCCTCACCCATGGATACTCTGCATCATCTGTAGTGACTGTTCATAATAGCTGACGGCCTTTCTGTAATCACAGAGGTCACTCCAGGCGGCACCCAAGCTGTTAAGTGACGCGGCGATGTCAGGATGTTCAGTGTCCTCACCGTGGATACTCCGCATCATCGGTAGTGCCTGTTCATGATAGCTGACGGCCTTTCTGTGATCACCAAGGTGACTCCAGGCAGTACCCAAGTTGGCAAGTGACTTGGCGATATCAGGATGTTCAGTGTCCTCACCATAGATACTCCGCATCATCTGTAGTGACTGTTCATAATAGCTGACGGCCTTTTTGTGATCACCAAGGTGCAGCCAGGCAGTACCCAAGTTGGCAAGTGACGCGGCGATGTCAGGATGTTCAGTGTCCTCACCATGGATACTCCGGTACATCTGTAGTGCCTGTTCATTATAGCTGACGGCCTTTCTGTAATCACCAAGGTGAATCCAGGCGCCACCCAAGTTGGCAAGTGACTTGGCGATGTCGGGATGTTCAGTGTCCTCACCATGGATACTCTGCATTATCTGTAGTGCCTGTTCATGATAGCTGACGGCCTTTCTGTAATCACCGAGGTCACTCCAGGCGTTACCCAAGTTGGCAAGTGACTTGGCGATATCAGGATGTTCAGTGTCCTCACCATGGATACTCCGCCTCATCTGTAGTGACTGTTCATAAAAGCTGACGGCCTTTCTGTGATCACCAAGGTCACTCCAGGCGGCACCCAAGCTGTTAAATGACGCGGCGATGTCAGGATGTTCAGTGTTCTCACCATGGATACTCCGATCCATCTGTAGTGCCTGTTCATGATAGCTGACGGCCTTTCTGTGATCACCAAGGTTTCTCCAGGCGGTACCCAAGTTGTTAAGTGACGTGGCGATGTCAGGATGTCCAGTGTCCTCGCCATGGATACTCCGCCTCATCTGTAGTGACTGTTCAAAATAGCTGACGGCCTTTCTGTGATCACCAAGGTGAATCCAGTTGCCACCCAAGCTGTTAAGTGACGCGGCGATGTCAGGATGTTCAGTTTTCTTACCATAGATACTCCGCCTCATCTGTAGGGACTGTTCATAATAGCTGGCGGCCTTTCTGTGATCACCAAGGTCCCCCCAGGCGGCACCCAGCTTGTTGAGTGAGTCGGCGATGTCAGGATGTGCTGTCCCCTCACCGTGTTTAGCAACCTCATCCTGCAGTGCCACTTCCATGCAGGACTTCACCTTTTCGTACTCACACAGACTGTTATATACGGCTGCTTGTAACTTAGGTGAGTTGTCAAACAGAACAGGAGCTCGAGGTTCTACCGTCGATGCGTACATCTCGATAAGTTGTGGAATAAAGGCAATTAATGGTGTTGCTGTGTAATGGTACCTCATCAGCTGTTTTGTATTGGAGAAGTAAAACACTTTCCTCAACTTCTCCCCCATATCTGTGTTATCAGACATGGACGATAAGGCTGACATGTTCTCCACCTGTCCACGGTTGTTCATGTATGTCCGCAGCCTCAGTTCTGCTGAGATGCTGACCAGCACCATCAAGTGATGCGCGTTCTCGCTGTTGATGACTCCGTTCTTGTTCATGTTCTGAATAGTCTCCCATATTGTGGTGGGTTGTATACCATAGAAAAGTGCCCAACACGACACTGCAAGTGTCGAAAATCGATAGATTTCTTTCTTCACATCTAGCAGTTTTGATGTTGGATTTTCTGGTCTAAATGTTCTGGAATTTGTTTTTTCAGTCATTATGGTTACTGCCTGTAACACAGATATCGCGCTATCACTACTTTGTATTAGCTGAAGCCACACGTCGGAATACATATCGACCAAGTCCTGCTCTCCTGTGATCAAACACACATTCCCCAATATGCTGGCGAGATGGTAGCCTTTGTTTGAAGGGAAATTCAGCTCGTCTTGAATGATTTGGCTCGAGTAACGCATTAAGTCTTTCAATAAGACACTCGTCATCTCACTTGGTGTGTGGATAAGTCCAGCTTTTTCACCCCTGCCCAGTGGAGTCTTGCATGCATGCGGCATGGATCCGTCGAACGCGAACCCGCGCGGCGTTACGGAGTCGTAGAACCAGTTGTCCTGTGGGTCTTTGGAGGAGAAATCATTGAGCGACTTGATCGCCATGGCCGGGAGAATGGTTTCTCCCAGGTTGATGACTTTGAGATGCAGATAGTGAGTGAGGTTGCGGAAGTACTTGACGTTACTCTCTGTTTCCTCCTCTACCAGGATGGCGAACTCCAGATCAGAGTACGGGGTTACTAACCCTGTGGCCTGTGAACCCAGGCCTATCATGGCGTACTTACAGGGAGGGGGGCCCATCACCTCCATACATTCAACAACAAGGCCAACCATGAACGTTTTTCTCTGTTCAGCAATTGTTGTTTGGAACAATGTAAAGATCGCTTCCGCTCTCTGTTTCTCCACTTCTCTTAACTCTGGATCATCGTCATCAAGACTATAAGGATCGATCTCCTGCTCGATTTTCTCGAGTTCATCTTTCACCTCTTCTCGACTTTTCGTCAACGCCAGTTTGTGTTTCTCCGAGTTACCAGTGTCCATTGCTTGTTTGATCCCCAGCACGTGCTCAACAAATACCTGGCTAACTTGTAGGATTATTTGTTTGATGCCTTCTCTGTCTTCTGTCCTTGCTCTGACCAGTGCGGCATTACGGAGTGCAGCAGCCTTGGTGAAGTCACTTCCGTCTTTCGACTTTTTTCCTCTTTCCAGGTAGACATCGCTTAACCTGCACAGGGGCTCCGCCTCTTTTTGGTAGTGGTCTTTATTAGAATCTGAACGCAACAATATTTTTGAATTAGAAACTTGAATCTCATTTTGGGTTTAATGCGTCAGCAATACTATGAATTACGCGAATAGAAATCAAAACTTATGAAACTGGTATAATAGGAATGACACATTTTTTCGCATTGATGTCTTTCCAGTGGCACATAGAATTACCTTTCATATGGATGGCCTTGAGCGCAGCTGCAAAGTGCTTCTCTGCCGCGTCCAGGTCTCCTGTCTGCAGGGCCCTGCAGCCCTCCTGCAGCTGTTCTGCCGTGTTCAGGTCCCCTGTCTGCCTGCAGCTCTCCTGCAGCTGTTCTGCCATGTCCAGGTCTCCTGTCTGCAGGGCCCTGCAGCCCTCTTGTAGCTGTTCTGCCGTGTTCAGGTCTCCAGTCTGCAGGGCCCTGCAGCCGTCCTGCAGCTGTTCTGCCGTGTCCAGGTCTCCTGTCTGCCTGCAGCCCTTCTGCAGCTGTTCTGCCGTGTCCAGGTCTCCTGGCTGCCTGCAGCCCTCCTGCAGCTGTTCTGCCGTGTGTCTTGTCTTCTGGGCCCTGAGCACAGTTGCTCTGATCCCCCCTGTCGTGTCCAAGTCCAGTAATGTCTGCAGGGTCCTTTTCATTGCTGCAAGGTGCTCCTCTATTGTGTCCATGCCCTCTGTCTGCAGGGCCCTGCAGCCCTTCAGCAGCTGTTCTGCTAGGTCTCTTGTCTGCCTAAGCACAGTTGCTATGGTCCCCTCCGCCATGTCCTGGTCCAATGTCTCCAGGCCACTTTTCGCAGCTGCAAGGTGCTTAATTCTCGTGCCCATGTCCTCTGTCTGCAGGGCAGCTGCACAGTGTTTTGCTGCCGTGTCCAGGGACTTCAGCACCTTTTGTAACCGGTCTCTGCTCATCCTGAAGCAAAGCGAGAATTAGCCGTAGAACTAAAAACAGTAGACGTAGTATATCAGTATTGGTGGGAAAAATTTTGATGAGTTCTACATGACACGAGGTTCTTTGCGCCGCATATATAGGATTTACGAAGCACTTTACCGAGGTAAAACATTTAGACTGATGTCCTAAATAGTGTTATGACTGACACCTTAATTTAAAACATTGGTAAGTTCGTTTTACAAAAGACTTAATAACCAAGTTAAATGTAACTCACCAGGTTTTGTCTGGTGTAGGGAGGCCAAGACCTTGAGGAATAGTCGACGTGACCTTGGTAGGTCCAGTTGGCAGCCACCTGTTTATGCTTTTGCCTCTCAGGAGCAACTAAAAAGTAACAATTGAAGCAACCTTTAACGTCTGAACTAGCAAATAATTATGGTTAACAATTGACCAAACTTTTATTTTAAAATAGATTCACAATGAGAAGTCTTAGCACCTTAATGAATCGAATGAACATTTTTGCACGTTCTTTTAGGACGTAAACGACTTACTCGTCTTCTTCTTTCCGCCATGTCCTTCCTGACTTTTGCTGCGTGCAGTAAGCGATGTGTGAGGACGGTTTTCCCATGTGGATCGTCACATCGTTCCAGGGCTGTGCTGTACAGGGCTGTAGCCTTGGTCAAGTGCCTGGGCTCCTTTAAGTCTCTTCCTCTCTTAAGGTTCACATCTCCGAGACTTTTGATGGACTCTACTTCCAACAAGTTGTTCCCCTCCACTATTCCTTCTACAAGAACCTTCGTGTAGCCCTCTAAGATGGAGTCCGTATGGCCACCGTTAGCCCATGTCTTATCCAAGTCTTGAAAGATGTCTGAAGTCCTTGCAACAGAATCAATGCTTGTGTTCCTGGTTGATCCAGCTATGGGCGTTTTCTGCCTGAGTTTCTCGGCGAGTTTGACCCTATGTTGGAGAGACTCGCCTTCCCCCGGGTCCTCACACCGGAGCAGCGCGGCCCTGTACAGGTTCAGGCCCCGCTCCAAGTTCCGCGGAGTTTCGGTCTTGTGGAGTCTTCCTTTCTCCACGTTCAAGTCTCCCAGGCTCTTCAGTACCTCCACTTCCTGCAGCCTGTCCATATCAGACATGGCGGCCAGAAGGGCGCGGCCGTACCCCGTCTCGGCCAGGTCATACCTGTTAGCCGCCACAAACCTCCGGCATTGCACGTCTGCAGGGAGAAGGGTCCCCGCAACACGCAGTATGTTGGACATGGTGATCGGGCTGGTAATGATACACAGAACACAAGTCAGTAACGAGGTCTGGAATGCTGTTCTTAAGACATTACATCAAAGGGACTAATAAATGTTGGCACATATTTGATTAGATTATGATAATAGACAAGGAGGTTATTTGTGCGGTAGAACAATTAAAAGGTGCTTCAAATTTTTAAATGCGTGGGGTCGTGTGGCGTAGCGACAGAGTACTCGACTCAGAACCCAGATGTCCCGGGTTCGAGTCCTGACATGCCACCGATCTTGAGCCCTTGGGAAAGGCACTTTACACGACTTTTCTCACTTAGGTCAAGTGAAAATGAGGATTGTCCTGTTCCGTATTTGTCCTCTGCGTTGTTGACGGTATAAGATAATTTGATATAACTTGAGTGTGCCGTCACCATGTCCAGTCATGAAATGTTGGAATAAAAAAGCTTTTAAAATAATCTTTTAAGAAGTGACAAACTACAAATCATCATTAAGGTTATGTAGATATGTGTTGTCTACGTTTTGAGACAGCCAGAATTCAACTGTTAACTTTGCAACAGGCAGATATGGGTGATGCAATCGCGCGGTAAATATTTAACTTCCACAAAAACTGTAGAACATTCGTGCGGGGTCGCAGTGTCACAATGACGTAGTCAATTTGGTAATAGGGCGGTCCTGATTGGATCACATAGACACGTGATCATAGTGCAAAGTCGACCAATCACGCGCTAGTCAGGCGGTAAATATCACACGTCATGTTTACCTTTGACCTCTACTGTTGGTGGCAGCGTCTGGTATAAAATATTGTAAGAAAGATTTCTCTTTCTTTCAAACAACAGTAACAACAACCAATTTGAAGTTATTTAAACTGATGCTTCTTCCTCATTGATTTCTTGCTCATGAACTACACACACTACAATATGTCAGGTGACGTCATGCTTTGCAAAGGCTTTGGTTTGATTGAGAGCTGTACTTTGATCATAACAGTTCAAACAAATGAAATAGTCCCATCACTATGTTCTGGATAGAAGAAACATTACCATTAAGCACTATGGAACAGATATCACGGTGCCAAACCAAATGTTGGTCGGAAATACGTTTGCACACACTTTGTGATCAATAAAAACGTAGCCTGTTATTACTAAATCGTCCCTAGAAAAACAAACATTTGGGGTCTTAATTGCCGATTCGTCACGGAATTCTCCTGGCCTAGACTAGAGATTGTGCAATACTTTCTTCTAACTTGGTCCTGATTGGATCACTCACACACGTGACCATAGCCCAAAGTCGACCAATCACGCGCTAGCAAGACGGGGAATACCACACTAATCTCCAAGCAGATCCTACGGTGGCAAGGCAGTGTCCATTGGCCAGAGGAGAGTCCATTTGCCACCATAGATCTGCTGACACTGAAGCAGGGAGGAAAATTGGTGTTGTTGCCCCCCCTTGTTGACCATTGACTAATCTCCAAGCAGATCCCTTTCGGTGGCTAATGGACACTCCTCTGGCCCATGGACACTACCTTGCCACCGTATGATCTGCTTGGAGATTACGCAATAAGGCCATAAACCGACTTGTTCTGCAAGTGTGCAGTATGTAGCGAGGCATTCCATGGAGATAGCTATGACGGAAAACCTGCTCATTTTGTCCGCGCGACCGTGTACATGACAACATGTCCATTCCTGTGAACATGTGAAGTATGTACAACACAATTTATAACTTACAATGACTCATAAACTTACAATGTCACAAGACTGTTGTATCTGGCCTGTAGAAACTCAAACATTTTCTATTGACTTACAACACACTCAGGTATTATAACGACATTAATCATTAACTCACAGGTCAACAGTGGAACTCCCAATCTTCATTACTAGAACGATGAAACAATGTAAAGTTTGAGACTTTACACTTTCTTACTCTTTATCTACATGTACCAAGTTTTCTTTAGACTTTGTGGCTATTATATGCTATGATAAATTTGTGTATTGACTTTCTCGACTGAGAACTCTGTGAAAACCTACAATATGTCCGAGCCAAACATAGTGGCAAAACTGTTGTGTCTGTCTTATGGAAACTCAAACAGTTTCTATTGACTTACCAAATCAGTCATTAAGTTAACTGAGACAGTCAACAGTGGAAAGTCGCATGTTTACTGAACCTTCAGCTGATATAATATGATAAACAATTAATACCAGAGATATTTTTGACTTGCTTATGCTTTATCTGTACATTGTATGTGTACCAAGTTTCTTTGTAAGATGCTGTGGTCATTAGCTGCTATTGTAACAGTTATAATTATTGTTTTTCTAGGTGCTGCTCTCGATTGATAACTTTGTGAAAACACTTGAGGTAGCATAAGTCATGGGAATCCCCTGAGCATGTCGGATCAAACACAGAGTCACAAGACTGTTTTGTCTGACCCTATGGAAACTCAAACAGTTTCTATTGACTTACCAACATCACTCATTAACTGACAAGTCAACAGTGGAAAGTCCCTGTTCGTAGACCTTCAAGGTGCTAATATGATAAAACAACGTACGCAGGAGACGGTTAAGACTCTACACTTTCTTACGCCTTATCCGCAATTGTATCAAATTTTCTTGTTGAGACTTCATATGTTGTTTTTCTAAGTGTTGTTCTAGACTCTGTGAAAACACTTGGCGACTGGCATGAGTCACGGGGAGTCCCCTCAGCATGTTGTTTTGCAGATTTTTCAGTCCTTACCTTTCCCGATCTTGTCGAATTGCACAGTTATAAATGTTAGTGCCCTCCCAGGCCCACTCCCACCTCAGAGCTGTTTGATGTTATCACAAAACCGGCAGGAAACCTTTCTGTCCCTGCAACCTACTTGTATGACCCCCTCAACCATACTTTTTTCTTGTAAAAAAACAATATTTTGATCTATTTTGCATCTATATACTGTCGTTAGATTAATAGTAAGAGCATGTTAAGTTTAGACCATACATACATTTGTACAACGGTTTTTTTCTCAACAGTAAGGTTAAGGTTTTGCTGAATGGATTTGAGTATACAGACAGCCGTACTCACCTGTTTAGTCTTGTCAGTGTTGTGTTATCCTCGTTTCCGCTAAGAGTAGAGAACAGCGGGTCTGTCCGTGAAAACGTGAGTTTCACCTGTAGGTTGGAGGTAAGACTGACGCTCCCAGCTCGCCTCTCGCACCTGCGGAAGTCCCCAGGTGTGACCTTACCTTTTGTACCGCGCGGGGGCGTCTGGGAAGGGGGATTCTACAAACTAAATTTCGGCAAAAGGGTGACGTATTCGCTAAGCTTAGTCTGGAAATCAGACTGTTGGCAGGATCTGTCCCAGTGCAATGGGCGTACTTTAAGTCTAGAGATATGCCTCGTAAAACCAAATGTAAAAAGCCTGTTTATGTGAGAGGCGGTGAAGCTTGTCCTAGAATGGGCACATTATTCGACAATAACTGATCTTAACGTTTCTGCCACGTAAATTTTGGTATTTCTTAATTTCATTATAAACAAATTGGTATTTCATAATTTCAATGGAAGACGAGCGGTTCTGCAAACTGTGCTTTGTTTGCTACACTCTTAACGAGGAAGATGATACATTTTTGTTATTTTGTCGCTAAGTTGTCCCACTGTTGTGTTCTAGCGAACCGTCGGTCGTGTGAGTCGGCCATGTTGTCCTTGATGACAAGTCAATCAATCAATCAATCAATCAATCAATCAATCAATCAATCAATCAACCAATCAATCAATCAATCAATCAAAGTTTATTGTGGAACAATTGCATCGGGTACACTGTATGGCAAATAACACTTAATTACTATAAACTATTTCTACTAGCGTATTAATCTAACCTTATCATTCAATACATGCACGTGTTATGATGGAATACTACGTATACATTTCACATTGTTATGACACTGTTTCTCTTGTGTATAGCATTATTTAAGTCCTACCCGGGCCGCGATAACGTTCGATAACGGGTTCCGGACCGGTCCGTACTTTACAGTTCCGCCCTAACCGCGTGCGCCGCTTTCGAAAATTCGAATACAGAATTCGGACGTTGGAATTGATATCGTTGCATTTTTTTTAATTCAGGGACGCCAAACTTGGGCTCATTTTGCATTAAAAGGAGTTTTTTCTTGGGTGGGTATGACATAAATAAAATACAACACGGTGTATTCCGCATCGCCCTCGGTCCCGGCCCTCCCCTTTCGGCCGTCGGGCGATCCGACCGCACCTCGGGCGATACGGAATACCCCTGTTGTATTCTAAATGTATATTCTTGTCTTTCTTATGTGATTTCCTCTCTCTCCGAGTATTTTGGCAGAATTACAGACGCTGAAAAACTAAGAATTGGAAAATGTTCAGGTTTATTATTGCCTGAAGTGATGATCAAGTTCAAATTTAGGTTTTCTTTTACTGATGCACATAACAGAAGAAGAAGGACTTTATTGCGCAACAGATGTAGCGGGTACAACGTATGGCAAAATATACATACATAATTGGTGATGCTAATATGCATACATACAATTAGTGATGCTAAAAATATCAGTTCTACTCACTGTACTAAGAATCTGGTCTACTTTATAAACAATGTATAACAATAAAGAGACACTAATTATACTGATCCAACATGACACATGTACAAATAATCCTGTTACCGACAGAAAGCGATATATTTATGCATTCATTAATTTATTTGTTTGGCACGCACACATAGCCAGGGCTGCCCAACTAGCCTGTGGCTATTGTAAAGGGCTAGCCCCGCTGACGAAGACATGTAAATCATGTGTCTCATTTGTCATGTTTAATGACTGTTCTTGCTAGTTGGCCGCCTCTAGGTAATCATCAAGGCGATACGAGCCAGAATCAGCGCCTGAAGTGTCTTTGCAACGTCAGGATGTTCAGTGTCCTCACCATGGATACTCCGCCACATCTGCAGTGCCTGTTCAAAATAGCTGACAGCCTTTCTGTAATCACCAAGGGCCCAACACATGACACCCAAGTTGTTAAGTGACGAGGGGATGTCAGGATGTTCAGTGTTCTCACCATGGATACTCCGACTCATCTGTAGTGCCTGTTCAAAATAGCTGACAGCCTTTCTGTAATCACCAAGGATCCCACATATGGCACCCAAGTTGTGAAGTGACATGGCGATGTCAGGATGTTCAGTGTCCTCACCATGGATACTTCGCCACATCTGTAGTGCCTGTTCATGATAGCTGACGGCTTTTCTGTAATCACCAAGTTTACTCCAGGCGTTACCCAAGTTGTTAAGTGAGTCGGCGATGTCAGGATGTTCAGTGCTCTCACCATGGATACTCCGCCTCATCTGTAGAGCTTGTTCGTGATAGCTGACAGCCTTTCTGTAATCACCAAGGGCCCAACACATGACACCCAAGTTGTTAAGTGACTTGGCGATGTCAGGATGTTCAGTGTTCTCACCATGGATACTCCGAATCATCTGTAGTGACTGTTCAAAATAGCTGACAGCCTTTCTGTAATCACCAAGGATCCCACATATGGCACCCAAGTTGTGAAGTGACATGGCGATGTCAGGATGTTCAGTGTCCTCACCATGGATACTTCGCCACATCTGTAGTGCCTGTTCATGATTGCTGACGGCTTTTCTGTAATCACCAAGTTTACTCCAGGCGTTACCCAAGTTGTTAAGTGAGTCGGCGATGTCAGGATGTTCAGTGCCCTCACCATGGATACTCCGCCTCATCTGTAGAGCTTGTTCGTGATAGCTGACGGCCTTTCTGTAATCACCAAGGTTCCTGCAGGCGTTACCCAAGTTGTTAAGTGACGTGGCAATGTCAGGATGTTCAGTGTTCTCAACATGGATACTCCGCCACATCTGTAGTGCCTGTTCATGATAGCTGACGGCCTTTCTGTAATCACCAAGGTCACTCCAGGCGTTAGCCAAGTTGTTAAGTGACTTGGCGATGTCAGGATGTTCAGTGTTCTCACCATGGATACTCCGCAACATCTGTAGTGACTGTTCATGATAGCTGACAGCCTTTTTGTGATCACCAAGGTCACCCCAGGCGTTAGCCAAGTTGTTAAGTGACGCGGCGATGACAGGATGTTCAGTGTTCTCACCATGGATACTCCGCAACATCTGTAGTGACTGTTCATGATAGCTGACAGCCTTTCTGTGATCACCAAGGTCACCCCAGGCGTTAGCCAAGTTGTTAAGTGACGCGGCGATGACAGGATGTTCAGTGTTCTCACCATGGATACTCCGCAACATCTGTAGTGACTGTTCATGATAGCTGACAGCCTTTCTGTGATCACCAAGGTCACCCCAGGCGTTAGCCAAGTTGTTAAGTGACGCGGCGATGACAGGATGTTCAGTGTTCTCACCATGGATACTCCGCAACATCTGTAGTGACTGTTCATGATAGCTGACAGCCTTTCTGTGATCACCAAGGACACTCCAAGCGTTAGCCAAGTTGTTAAGTGACGTGGCGATGTCAGGATGTTCAGTGTCTTCACCATGGATACTCCGCATCATCTGTAGTGACTGTTCATGATAGCTGACAGCCTTTCTGTGATCACCAAGGTGACCCCAGGCGGCACCCAAGTTGTTTAATAACCTGGTGATGTCGGGATGTTCAGTGTCTTCACCATAGATACTCCGCAACATCTGTAGTGTCTGTTCATAGTAGCTGACGGCCTTTCTGTGATCACCAAGGTCACTCCAGGCGCTACCCAAGTTGTTAAGTGACGTGGCGATGTCAGGATGTTCAGTGTCTTCACCATGGATACTCCGCAACATCTGCAGTGACTGTTCATGATAGCTGACGGCCTTTCTGTGATCACCAAGGTTTCTCCAGGCGGCACCCAAGTTGTTAAGTGACGCGGTGATGTCAGAATGTTCAGTGGCCTCACCATAGATACTCCGCCTCATTTGTAGTGACTGTTCATAATAGCTGACGGCCTTTCTGTGATCACCAAGGAGACTCCAGGCGGCACCCAAGCTGTTGAGTGACATGACGATGTCAGGATGTGGTGTTCCCTCGCCGTGTTTAGAAACCTCATCCTGTAGTGACACTTCCATGCATGATATTACCTTTTTGTACTCACACAGACTGTTATATACGGCTGCTTGTAAGTTTGGTGAGTTGTCAAACAGAACAGGAGGTTCTACCGTCGATGCGTGAATTTTGACAAGTTGTGGAAGAAAAACCTTCAATGGCATTGCTGTGCTATGGTACCTCATCAGCTGTTTTGTATTTGAGAAGTAAAACACTTTCTTTAACTTCTCCCCCATATCCGTATTAGCAGACATGGACGATAAGGCTGACATGTTCTCCACCTGTCCACGGTTGTTCATGTATGTCCGCAGCCTCAGTTCTGCTGAGATGCTGACCAGCACCATCAAGTGATGCGCGTTCTCACTGTTGATGACTCCTTTCTTGTGCATTTTCTTAATAGTCTCCCATATTGTGGTGGGTTGTATACCATAGAACAGTGCCCAACACGACACTGCAAGGGTCGAAAATCGGTAGATGTCTTTCTTCACATCTAGCAGTCTCGATGTTGGATCTTCTAGTCTAAACGTTTTGACATTTGTTTTTTCATTCATTATAGCCATTGCCTGTAACACAGATAACACCTTATCACTACTCTGTAGTAGCTGAATCCACATGGCGGAATACACATCGACAAAGTCCTGGTCTCCTGTGATCAAACACACATTCCCCAATATGGTGGCGAGATGGTAGCCTTTGTTTGAATGGAAAGTCGGGTCGTCTTGCATGATTTTGTCCAAGTAACGCTGCAAATCTGCTATTAAAACCTTTGTCATCTCGATTGGTGTGTGAATAAGTTCAGCTGCTTCACCCCTGCCCAGTGGAGTCTTGCATGCATGCGGCATGGCTCCGTCAAACGCGAACCCGCGCGGCGTTACAGAGTCGTAGAACCAGTTGTCCCGTGGGTCTTTGGAGGAGAAATCATTGAGCGACTTGATCGCCATGGCCGGGAGGATGGTTTCTCCCAGGTTGATGACTTTGAGATGCAGATAATGAGTGAGGTTGCGGAAATACTTGACGTTACTCTCTGTTTCCTCCTCTATCAGGATAGCGAACTCCAGATCAGAGTACGGTGTTACTAACCATGTGGCCTGTGAACCCAGGCCTATCATGGCGTACTTACAGGGAGGGGGACCCATTACCTCCATGCATTCATCTACAAGGCCAGATATGAACGTTTTTCTCTGTTCAACAATTGTTGTTTGGAGTAATGTTATGATCGCTTCCGCTCTCTGCTTCTCCACTTCTCTTATCTCTGGATCATCGTCATCAAGACTATAAGGATCGATCTCCTGCTCGATTTTTTCGAGTTCATCTTTCACTTGTTCTCGACTTTCCGTCAACGACATTTTGTGTTTCTCTGAGTCACTTTTGTCAATTACATGTTCGATCCCCAGCACGTGCTCAACAAATAACTGGCTAACTTGTAGGATTGTTTGTTTGATGCCTTCTCTGTCTTCTGTCCTTGCTCTGACCAGTGCGGCATTACGGAGTGCTGCAGCCTTGGTGAAGTCACTTCCGTCTTTCGACTTCTTTCCTCTTTCCAGGTAGACGTCGCTTAACCTGCACAGGGGCTCCGCCTCTTTCACGTATTGTTCTGTATTTGGTCCTAAGGAAACAACTATTTTAAATTATATAAACAAGATACTTGACTAGATTTTGTATTACTCGCTCATACCATGTATATCAAAGCGCACAAATATAAATTAGTAAGAAGTCTTCAAAGTGGTTTGTGTACGTTTTAGCACATCTCATAAGACATACAGAGGTCAATACTGTAATATTTTGTCTCTGGTTCATTGCAATGAAGCAACATTTTAAAAATGGTTCTATGAATCATACTTAAAGAAAAATATGCAAACGCACATTGGTATGCTTCAATCAGATTCTCAATTATTTGTGTTCCGACTTTTTTTTGTTACGTACGTTTCACATGGACGGCCCTGAGCGCAGCTGCAAAGTGCTTCTCTGCCGTGTCCAGGTCTCCAGTCTGCAGGGCTCTGCAGCCCTCCTGCAGCTGTTCTCTGTACACCCTAAAGCAAAGCGATCATTTAATACATACTTGCCGTAGAGTGAGAAATAATTGACGCAGTACTTAAGCATTGCCGAGGCGGATTTCGATGCATTCATTTCAGATTTCTGCATGACACTGTGTTTTTTTGCGCTGCATAGAGATGGTTTACAAGTACTTTATCGAGGTGAAGCGTTTAGACTAATGTCCTTAATGTTGTATTGAACCACACCTTAACGTAATTCAAAACATGGGTAAGTTAGTTTTACAAAAGACAGGAAAACTAATTTGATGTAACTTACCTGGAATTGTCTTCTGTAGGGATGCCATGACCTTCAGAAATAGTCGAAGTGACCTTGTTAGGTCCAGTTGGCAGCCACCTGTTTGTGCTTTTGCCCCTCATTAGCAACTAAAAGTAACATTTAAAGCAACCTCAATGTCTGAACTGACAATTGACCAAACTTTAATTTAACAATAGATTCAGAATTAGAAGTCTTAGCATCAGAAAGAATCTGATGAACATTTTGGCAACGGCACCAAAACACAAAATGTAAAACACTTACTCGTGTTCTTCTGTCCGCCATGTCTCTCCTGACTTTTGCTGCGTGCAGTAAGCGATGTGTGAGGACGGTTTTCCCATGTGGATCGTCACATCGCTCCAGGGCTGTGCTGTACAGGGCTGTAGCCTTGGTCAAGTGTCTGGGCTCCTTTAAGTCTCTTCCTCTCTTAAGGTTCACGTCTCCGAGACTTTTCATGGACTCTACTTCCAACAGATTGTTCTCCTGCACTATTCCTTCTACAAGAACCTTCGTGTAGCCCCCTATGATGGAATCCGTATAGCCACCGTTCGCCCGTTTCCTGTCCAAGTCTTGAAAGATTTCTGAAGTCCTCCCAACAGAATCAATGCTTGTGTTCCTGGTTGATCCAGCTATGGGCGTTTTCTGCCTGAGTTTCTCGGCGAGTTTGACCCTATGTTGGAGAGACTCGCCTTCCCCCGGGTCCTCACACCGGAGCAGCGCGGCCCTGTACAGGTTCAGGCCCCGCTCCAAGTTCCGCGGAGCTTCGGTCTTGTGGAGTCTCCCTTTCTCCACGTTCAAGTCTCCCAGGCTCTTCAGTACCTCCACTTCCTGCAGCCTGTCCATATCAGACATGGCGGCCAGAAGGGCGCGGCCGTACCCCGTCTCGGCCAGGTCATACCTGTTAGCCGCCAAACCTCCGGCATTGCACGTCTGCAGGGAGAAGGGTCCCCGCAACACGCAGCATGTTGTTCTGTAGACATTATATGAAAGGGACTAATAAATGGTGGCACATATTTGATTAGATTATGATAATAGACAGGGAGATTATTTGTGCGGTAGAACAATTAAAAGGGGTAGTGTGGCGTAGCGGCAGAGTGCTCGACTCGGAACCTAGAGGTCCCAGGTTCGAGTCCTGACATGCCACCGATCTTGTGCTCTTGGGGAAGGCACTTAGCACGACTTTACTCTCTTCGCTCAGGTGAAAATGAGTATCGTATTGTCCCGTGTTGGTGGCGGCATTAATATAAGTTTGAAAAACTTAAGTGGAAATTATTAAAAAAATTAAAAGGTGCTTCAATTTTTTAAAGAATCTTTTAAGAAGTGAGAAACCACAAACCATTAAGGTTATGTAGATATGTGTCGTCTACCTTTTGAGGCAGCCAGATTTCAACTGTGAACTTTGCAGCAGGCAGATATGGGTGATGCAATCGCGCGGTAAATATTTAACTTCCACAAAAACTGTAGAACATTCGTGCGGGGTCGCGGTGTCACAATGATGTATTGGTAATAGGACAGTCCTGATTGGATCACATAGACACGTGATCATAGTCCAAAGTCGACCAATCACGCGCTAGTCAGGAGGTAAATATCACACGTCATGTTTACCTTTGACCTCTGCTGTTGGTGGCGTCTGGCATAAAATATCTTACCAAAGATTGTCTCTTTCTTTCAAACAACAGTAACAACCGATTTGAAGTTATTTAAACTTAAAAGCTTCTTCCTCATCTACTTCTTGCTCATGAACTACAAACACTACAATATGTCAGGTGACGTCATGCTTTGCAAAGTGTTTGGTCTGACTGTTAGCTGTACTTTGATCATAACAGTTCAAACAGATAAATAGTTCCATCACTATGTTCTGGATAGGGGAAACTTTGCCATTGAGCATTATGGCACATATGCCACGGCACTAAACCACAAGTTAGTCGGAAATACCTTTGCATATACATTGTGATCAATAAAAACTTAGCCTGTTATAATTAAATCGTCCTTAGAAAAACAAATATTTGGGGCCTTAATTAGCGATTCGTAACGGAATTCCCCTGGCCTAGACTAGAGACTGATTGTGCAATACCTTCTTCTAACTTGGTCCTGATTGGATCACACAGACACGTGACCATAGTCCAAAGGCAATCAATCACGTGCCAGCAAGACGGGGAATATCACACGTCACATCCCTGTAGACTGTTCCTGCCCCCCGTGGTTTAGACACCCTACAACCTACGCCGCCGTACGGAAAACCACCACTCAGCAGATCAAATAGACACAAAAACTCTTTCATACCCAGAACTCTTTCGTCAATGTAAAGCCCGCGAAATCTTTGTGCTTGTGTTGTATATTTTATGTTGAGAGATTTTAACAATATCGGAAATTCGCTGTTTAAACTAATGGTATTTTAAATGTAATGTTTTATGAATGAAATGTAAAATCAACCCAATTTAGTCTTGTCAAAGACTACAAAGTTGATTGCTTAATAAAGTTTACAAGACTGTTGTGTCTGGCCTGTAGAAACTCAAACAGTTTCTATTGACTTACAACACAAGTATGATAACCTGTGGAAAGTCCCGATCTTTATTATTGGTAGAATAAAACAATGTAATGTTTGAAACTCTACAATTTCTTACTCTTTATCTGCATGTACCAAGTTTTCTTGTTTAGACTTTGTGGCTATTAGATAATATAATAAATTTCTCGACTCTGTGAAAACTCTTGACGATTGGCACGTCGACGTCTGATCAAAACAGAATCGCAAAACTGTTGTGTCTGCCTTATGGAAACTCAAACAGTTTCTATTGACTTACCAACAGTACTAATTAACTGACAAGTCAACAGTGGAAAGTCCCATGTTTGTTGAAATTCAAGCTGGTATAGTATAACAAACAATAATTACCAGAGATGTTTTGACTTTCCTATATGCTTTATCTGCACATTGTACGTGTACCAAATTTCTTCCTAAGACATTGTGGTCATTAGCTGCTATTGTAACAGTAATAATTATTGTTTATCTAGGTGTTGTTCTCGATTGAGAACTTTAAGAAAACACTTGAGGTAGCATAAGTCATGGGAATCCCCTGAGCATGTTGGATCAAACACAGAGTCACAAGACTGTTATGTCTGACCTATGGAAACTCAAACAGTTTCTATTGACTTTCCAGCAGTACTCATTAACTGACAAGTCAACAGTGGAAAGTCCCTGTTCGTAGACCTTCAAGGTGCTAATATGATAAAACAACGTACGCAGGAGATGCATAAGACTCTACACTTCCTTACACCTTATCCGCAATTGTACCAAATTTTCTTGCTGAGACATTAGAATAGATGTTTTTTGTCTAAGTGTTGTTCTCGACTCTGTGAAAACACTTGGCGACTGGCATGAGTCATGGGGAATCACCTCAGCATGTTGTTTTGCAGATTTTTCAGTCCATACCTTTCCCGATCTTGCTGAATTGCACAGTTATAAATGTTAGTGCCTTCCCAGGCCCACCCCCACCTCAGAGCTGTTTTATGTTATCATAAAACTGGCAGGAAAACTTTCTGTCCCTACAACCTACATGTATGACCCCCTCAACCATACTTTTTTCTTGTACAAAACACTATTTTGATCTATTTTGCATCTATATACTGTCGTTAGATTAATAATAACATCACGTTAAGTCTAGACCATGCTATACCTACATTTGCTTTTCTTAACAGTAAGCTAAAGGTGTTGCTGAATGTGTTCGAGTATACGGACAGCCGTACTCACCTGTTTAGTCTGGTCAATGCTGTGTTATCCTCGTTTCCGGTAAGAGAAGACAACAGCGGGTCTGTCCGTAAAAACGTGAGTTTCACCTTTAGGTTGGAGGTAAGACTGACGCTCCCAGCTCGCCTCTCGCACCTGCGGAAGTCCCCAGGTGTGACCTCACCTTTTGTACCGCGCGGGGGCGTCTGGGAAGGGGGCTTTCACGAACTATTTTTGGGCTGAAGGGTGACGTATTCGTTTATGTAAATGTTTTAAGGGGGTTTGTCTCATTGATTATGGAAATTAGGTCATAATTAACGTAATCTAGTTTAATTTATTGTTTTCTAAACTCAAATTACAATATTTTGCTTGTGAAATTCCTATCCTTTGATTCAACATGTCCTTATTAATCATGAAAAATACCTCTATATTAACATAATATATTTACTCTATTTACAGCAACTATTCTATATGGTGATTTGTAGAAGTGTGACACAGATTTAAAACTGTTCAGCTTGTGTAATTTATTTAGAATAATTGTATCTGTTTATATCATATATTTTTTAGAATAATTGGATGTGTTTATATTATACATTTTTTTAGAATAATTGTATCTGTTTATATGTGTAACCTTACTTGTTGTCCCGAATGGTGTACCTGTTACGGTATATATGTAACGTTACTTGTTGTATGTTGACCTACGTTTATCAACCTTTGCTGCCTGTAAGTCTGTGTAATGTGTTGTTTGCATTTAAAATGAATAAACATAATACATAGTGATGTTAACCTTACACATGTCACAAGGTATAAAATTCCCTTTATTCATATAAGAAATCACAGATTTGTCGCAGGCCGAGAATACAATACTCGAACCCTTACCAACTGTCTGCTCCTCCTGTCACGAGTCTCTAGTCTTGAATCTTTCTTGTCTGTTTCGCCCAGTCTCTTTATTCTGTATTGTCTTGTTGTTTGTTTCCTGTCTCTTTATTCTATATTGTTTCTTTGTTATCTTGAATGTATGGCTGTTTAATTTTATAAAGGGACCGGGGGGTTAAGAATCGTGAGCAGTTTTGACCGTGTCAGTATTTTATTGCCTCGCTAAAGATTATGCAATATCATCAATTGAATTTTATTTCATATGCAAATGCCATCATATAGTTTCATTATGATTAACTCTCGACCACGTTTCTAGTGACTATTCTTTATAGTTGGTGGCTTCTCTGTAATATCTACGAGCCAGACTCAGCCCCTTTAGTGTCTTTGCAACATCAGGATGTTCAGTGTTCTCACCATGGATACTCCGCCACATCTGTAGTGCCTGTTCATAATAGTTGACGGCCTTTCTGTGATCACCAAGGTGATGCCAGGCGATACCCAAGTTGTTAAGTGACACGGCGATGTCAGGATGTTCATTGTCCTCACCATGGATACGCCGGAACATCTGTAGTGTCTGTTCATAATAGCTGACGGCCTTTCTGTGATCACCAATGTCTCTCCAGGCACCACCCAAGAGGTTGAGTGACTTGGCGATGTCAGGATGTGCTGTTCCCTCGCCGTATTTAGCAACGGCATCCTGTAGTGCCACTTCCATGCATGACTTCATCTTTTCGTACTCACACAGACTGTGATATACCTCTGCTTGTAACTTTGGTGAGTTGTCAAACAGAACAGGAGGTTCTACCGTCGATTGGTATATTTTGATAAGTTGTGGAATAAAGGCCTTTAATGGTGTTGCTGTGTAATGGTACCTCATCAGCTGTTTTGTATTTGAGAAGTAAAACACTTTCTCCAACTTCTCCCCCATATCTGTGTTATCAGACATGGACGATAAGGCTGACATGTTCTCCACCTGTCCATGGTTGTTCATGTATGTCCGCAGCCTCAGTTCTGCTGAGATGCTGACCAGCACCATCAAGTGATGCGCGTTCTCACTGTTGATGACTCCTTTCTTGTTCATCTTCTGAATAGTCTCCCATATTGTGGAGGGTTGTATACCACAAAGTAGCGCCCAACACGACACTGCAAGGGTCGAAAATCGATAGATTTCTTTCTTCACATCTAGCAGTCTAGATGTTAGTTCTCCGACTGAAAATGTTTGAACATTTGTTTTTTCAGTCAGTATGCTCCATGCCTGTACCAAAGATACCACCCTACTTTGTAGTAGCTGAGGCCACACCCCCGAATACACATTGACCAAGTCCTGGTCTCCTGTGATCAAACACACATTCCCCAAGATGCTGGCGAGATGGTAGCCTTTGTTTAAAGGGAAATTCAGGTTGTCTTGAATGATCTGCTTTGAGTAACGCAGTAAGTCTTTCAATAAAACCTTCGTCATCTCACTCGGTGTGTGAATAAGTTCAGCTGTTTCACCCCTGCCCAGTGGAGTCTTGCATGCATGCGGCATGGCTCCGTCGAACGCGAACCCGCGCGGCGTTACAGAGTCGTAGAACCAGCTGTCCTGTGGGTCTTTAGAAAAATCATTGAGGGACTTGATCGCCATGGCCGGGAGGATGGTTTCTCCCAGGTTGATGACTTTGAGATGCAGATAGTGAGTGAGGTTGCGAAAATACTGGACGTTACTCTCTGTTTCCTCCTCTATCAGGATGGCGAACTCCAGATCAGAGTACGGGGTTACTAACCCTGTGGCCTGTGAACCCAGGCCTATCATGGCGTACTTACAGGGAGGGGGGCCCATTACCTCCATACATTCATCTACAAGGCCAGATATTAACGTTTTTCTCTGTTCAACAATTGTTGTTTTGAACAATGTAAAGATTGCTTCCGCTCTCTGCTTCTCCACTTCTCTTATCTCTGGATCATCGTCATCAAGACTATAAGGATCGATCTCCTGCTCGATTTGTTTCAGCTTGTCTTCTACAAGCTCTCGGTCTTTCTTCAGTATTGATTTGTGTTTCTCCGAGTCACCGGTGTTCACTACTTGCTCTATCCCCAGCACGTGCTTAACAAATAACTGGCTAACTTGTAGAATTGTTTGTTTGATGCTTTCTCTGTCTTCTGTCCTTGCTCTGACCAGTGCGGCATTACGGAGTGCTGCAGCCTTGGTGAAGTCACTTCCGTCTTTCGACGTCTTTCCCTTTTCCAGGTAGACATCGCTTAACCTGCACAGGGGCTCCGCCTCTTTAATGTATTGGTCTTTTTTCGGTTCTAAGGCATCAACAATTTTATGTTATAAAGACAATTGACTACATATTTACTTATAGCTAATATCTTAAGTCGCATAAATAGAAATTAGAAGTCTTCAAACTCATGGTTTTTGTACTTTTTTCAACACTCTCAAAATTCTCTTTCATCTACCTTTAGTACGTTGTATATTTTATCACTGAATAAAAGCTTGGATATGTTGATGTGATTCTTTTTCTCTGGGTTATTGTGATTAAGAAATATTAGAATTACGATATGAATCATACTTTAACATCAAGACATTAAAACACAATGCTATACTTTTATAAAATTAGATTTGCGAATAAAGTGTTTCGACTTTTTTATGTACGTACGTTTCACATGGACGGCCCTGAGCGCAGCTGCAAAGTGCTTCTCTGCCGTGTACAGGTCTCCTGTCTGCAGGGCCCTGCAACCCTTTTGTAACTGTTCTCTGTACACCCTGCAACATTGGATCATGTAATACATATTTGCTGTATAATCAGAAATAAATGACGTTGAATATCAGCATTGGCGGGACAGTTATTACTCCGTGAAGGAGGTCAGGACCTCCGGACGGAGTGTTGTGAAGAGCCGTTTTTTTCGTGTTCGCAGTCAAAACACTGGGTTCTCTTTGTGTAATCGGCATGCAATTTTATACGCCGTCTGCGGGCATGCCCGTGTTGATGCACGAATGTGTATTTTTGCCGTTGCTGCTTTCGCGGTCAATGTAATATTGTAGATGCACCCCTACAATTATGAGGCAAATTGGAATGGTCCAGAAAAACCAGTAGTTTGGAATAGCGGTGGGGGTAGGGGTGTGTGTGGAACTTCAGGCTGATGTGGTGAGGGCCGATAAGTGGTACCACGGCAGTAACACTCGCGGTGCTGGCCGCAACTGTTGCTGGAATTTGCCAGTCGCGCTTAATAAGTAACAGGCACGGTAAGACGGTGGGGCTGTCTCTGTTACTAGTGACACGACCATTATAGACCATGATAGTCCGATCTTTATGTGAATGCAATGATTGTGTGTGTGTAATTAAAATGAACTTCGAACTTGAAGCACAGTATCTTTACACGCCCTGAGAGCAGTAATGGATTTAGGTCTTTTTATGTTTTATGGTTGTGACGCGCCCTCATTGTATTAACCATTATGTCTGCACAGTAGGTCTGGCGTTGACGCTTGGGATTATTTTTGTTGCAAAATATAAAACTTCACGGAGGATTGTCACCTATGGCTTCTTGTTGATGTCAGTTTTGTGTTCTTCTCTTATTCTGTTTTGTAGTACATTTTGAATGGAATAAAGTGATTTAATAGAAAGAGTAGTTTACCGCTCTGATTAAATATGAAACATTTTGCTAACAAAATTAACAGATTATCGATTTGCATTGTGTTCTTTGTGCTGCGTCATGGGAGAGGAGTTACAAATCACTTTACTGAAAGTCCTGGACATTAAAACACAGGTGAAACTCTACTGAATAAAATACATGAAAACTCGATTGACGTCACTCACCTTGCATCATCTACTGTAGGGAGGCCATGACCTTGAGGAATCGTCGAGGTGACCTTGGCAGGTCCCGTTGGAAGCCTCTTGTTTGTCTTTTTGTCCCTTGGAATCATCTGAAAAGTAACAATTGAAGCAACCGTGATATCTGAGAATGTTTATAGATGATAACAATCGACTACAATATATATATATATAT